GTACGGTCTCGAATTCGTCTAGAATTGAAGAAGGAACGACAGAAACTGATACACAAGAAGCCAATGAATGAGCTAGCACTGAGAGGGAAAGTACAGGAATCCAGAGTCTAGCTTCAGAACAGGTACTCGGCTCTTATCGAGGAAAACAGCCTTAGCGTTGACGCAATGAATGATAATCTGACGAGTATCATTACCGAGCGTGCAGTGGAAGTTGGAGGCACGGTAGTTAGACAGGACACTGGCAAGCTTTCCCAGGAAACGAAGAATCTCATTAAGAAGTGTCAAATCATGAAAGTCTCAAGTACAACAGACAAAATAGGACTGGCAGAGCTTTTTTTTTTTTTTTGATTAATAGGCGTAACGTATGTGATGTAAGAAGGTATAACATGGAAAGAATTTAACACGCTCTGAAAAACGGGGGAAGCATCAAAGCAGTGAAGAGGAAACTTGGGATAGGCAAAAATCAGATGTATGCACTAAGGGACAAAGAAGGCAAAATAACTGCCAATATGAATAGGATAGTTAAAATAGCGGAGGAGTTCTACAGAGATTTGTACAGTAGCCGGGACAACCACGACTTCAATACTATAAGAGCTAGCAGGAACCCAGATGACACCCCACCAGTAATGATAGAAGTCGGGAAAGCCTTAGAGAGCATGCAAAGAGGCAAAGCTGCTGGTGAGGATCAGGTAACATCAAATCTGCTGAAAGATGGAGGACAGATTGTGTTCGAAAAACTAGCCACGCTGTTTACGAGGTGTCTTCTGACGGGAAGAGTACCAGAGTCTTGGAAGAATGCTAACATCATCTTAATATATAAGATAGGAGATGACAAGAACTTCAAGAATTACAGGCCGATCAGCTTGCTCTCTGTAGTATACAAGCTATTTACACAGGTAATTGATAACAGAGTAAAGAAAACATTAGAATTCAATAAACCAAAGGAACAAGCAGGATTTCGAACAGGCTACTCAACAATCGACCACATTCATACTATCAATCAGGTAATAGAAAAATGCTCAGAATGTAACCAACTACTATACATAGCCTTCATAGATTACGAGAAGGCGCTTGACTCGGTAGAAATATCAGCCGTCATGCAGACAATGCGGAATCAGGACGTCGAAGTATATATAAACATCTCAGAAGAAATCTACAGGGGATCAACTGCTACCATAGTGCTTCATAAAAAAAGCAACAGAATACCAATCAAGAAAGGTGTAAGGCAGGGGGACACAATTTCCCCAATGCTATTTACCGCGTGCTTACAGGAGGTTTTCAGAAGCCTAGAATGGGAACAGTTAGGGATAAAAGTTAATGGAGGGTACCTTAGTAACCTGCGCTTCGCCAATGACATTGCATTGCTGAGTAACTCAGGGGATGAATTGCAACTCATGATTACGGAGTTAGACAAGGAGAGCAGAAAGGTCGGTTTTAAAATTTATCTGCAGAAAACGAAAGTAATGTACAACAACCTCGGAAGAGAGCAGCGCTTCGAGATAGGTAATGGTGCACTTCAAGTTGTAAAAGACTATGTCTACTTGGGGCAGGTAATAACCATGGAGCCGAACCACGAGATTGAAGTAACTAGAAGAATAAGAATGGGGTGGAGCACATTTGGCAAGCACTCTCAAGTTGTAATAGGTAGATTGCCACTATCCCTCAAGAGGAAGGTATATAACAGCTGTATCTTGCCGGTATTTAGCTACGGGGCAGAAACTTGGAGACTTACAAAGAGGGTTCAGCTTAAATTGAGGACGACGCAGTGAACAATGGAAAGAAAAATGGTAGGTGTAACCTTAAGAGACAAGAAGAGGGCAGAGTGGACTAGGGAAGGAATAGGGGTTAAGGATAGTTGAAATCCAGAAGAGGAAATGGACATGCACCGGGCATGTAGCGCATAGACAGGATAACCGCTGGTCTAAAAGGGTAACTAACTGTATTCCCAGAGAAGGCAAGCGGGTTAAGGGGAGACAGAAGGTTAGGTAGACAGATGAAATTAAGAAGGTTGCGGGCATAAATTGGCAGCAGCAAGCACAGGACCGGATTACCTAACTGGCAGAACTTGGGAGAGGCCTTTGTCCTACAGTGGATGCAGTCAGGCTGCTGCTGTTGCTGATGATGATGTAAAGCAGTATTTGTCCGATGCTGCATTTTTCACTCACTCATCTAAATTGTGCAATAGCCTCATTATTGCGAAAAGAATGATATGCACACTCTCACTAGGATTTTTCTTGTTTCCGTCATGTCATGTAAAAAAAAAATTCCGCCATATCCACGAAGTGAATGATGATGAGTGGGCGAAGCTCCGGAGGTAAACCTGGTAAACCATGAATCCTCTGTACATTTTGCCCACTCGATTTTATTACATCGCTCCCCCTAGCGTACGTCGCCGCACTAAATCGAACGACTGCCTTCAACCAATGACACGCGCCATATGTGACATCATTCCTATTTTATAAGATCTCGTGTCTTTCATCAACTACAAGTACCGCTTTCTAGTTTATAACATCTTGCATCTTTTCATCATCAGCTACAAGTACCACCATCTAGTAAACACAAGAACTAAACGAGAGGTGGCTACATACAGGAGACGGTACCGCCATCTAGTGAACACTGCAAGAATTAAACTAGAGGTGGCTACATACAGGGGACGGTACCGCCATCTAGTGAACACTGCAAGAACTAAACTAGAGATGGCTACATACAGGCTACAGGGGACGCACAGCCCACGCCCTAAGGAGCTTCGCCCCTAAAAGAACATACCCCCACGCAATGTACCTTCTACCTGCGGGTAAAAGCGCACGAGCTGAGGTGACAAACACGACTGAAGCAGAGATCAAATGAGATGGCCCATCTCCACCGCTTAGAGCGTGCATCCAATAGCATCCACTCGCTTGGGAGGTGTGCAATTGAAGCAGAGTGCTCTACCTGTCTTAGCACGCATAGAAGAGAGAGAGAAGGTGAGTGTGTTGCTTGAACAGCAACTGTGAACTTCGCCTCCAAAGATGGCTTGCATATACTTCTACATGCTGCACTCTCATCGCAAAAAGACTGCGAAAAGTGTTGCTCTCTTGGAGTGCCATATTATTGCACACCAGTGTTTTGTCAGAGTTACGAGATCGGACCCAAAACAGTTAGCCGCCAGCCTCACTTTGTATAACATTACAATTGGTTGCTATCGCAGTTATAGTTTTGCCCTAGCAGTGACAACTGTGACTTTTCTTCAATGTACAGCCGCCTTCTTTTTTTTTACCCTAAACGCGAAAGCGTCATTCCCCTCCCCGAGTCAATAAGAACCGTATAACGAAGCACAGTGGCCAAATAAAAGAGAATACGCACATGCGCTAGATGAGCAACCCTGTGCATCTGTCATTGCTGGGCTGTTCCTGGCATTGACATCTGACACCACATCATTTCTTTTGAGCACTGTTACTGCCACCTTTTTTTTTTTGTTTTTCCAAATGCTGCCATCAAGTTATATATAAAAAAGCTACACTGGCAGGGTGAAGCAATGAATGCAATAGCAACAAATTTCAAGGCTGGCAGCCAACTCTTTTCCGATGGAGGCGGAAATGTTGTAGGCCCGTGTACTCAGATTTGGGTGCACGTTAAAGAACCCCAGGTGGTCGAAATTTCCGGAGCCCTCCACTACGCCGTCTCTCATAATCAAATAGTGGTTTTGGAACGTTAAACCCCACAAATCAATCAATGGCAGCCAACTCTGATTCGATATCACGTAACTCTACAAAACGGCGGTGTAAGAAAATATGGCCACACCAAAGAGAGATGCTATTTTTGAAGATCCTTCGCATTCAGAGCAAAAAGGGTTCACGAGCCATTCGCTCTGATGCCTGTTGTGATAGCTTACGCGCATAATGATCACAACCATGCTTTTAGAATCACAACTGAGGCTGGAGCAATCACGGTCTTTACGAAACCAAAACCATAACAGTTTTGATGAAACCAAAAAAGAGGATGTTTCAGTCATGTTTCTGGCATACGGTTCAACGGTAGTCACACTTTACAGCTGAATACGGGTGTGGTACAGTTCGACACTGATAAGCGAATTTGACACAACAAGGGTGGTTCAGCACAATATGCCGCAGGTGAACAAGTTTGACGCACAATGGCACAGCTGTTCCACACCTGCTCTGAGCCTAATCGAGGATTACGGTGCATGGGAATGATTTTCTTGACATTGTATACCTCTTGAAAAGTACACAGATATTCAAGGGGAAAATCAGCACTCAATCATTTTGGCAGCGGATGAAGGGACAACAAAACTGACAAAAAGTAGCTTATGTGAGTGGTAAAGCAAGCTTTACAGGAGGAGAGCACAGCCCTATGAACTTTTAAGACGTATGTGCAGGTGCTGTCTTCTGCTGGAAATAAGGTGTGAATAACATTTCTGTGCAGAACATCATAAGAGTTTCTCTGCACCAGTTCTGAAGGCCATTCCATCCCAACACTTGGTGAAGTGGTGGCATGATGGTAGCTTCGTTAGTCAGTAGGACATAAATACCCCACTGTTATTTTAGCAATGTACTGGTTTGATTTTGATAAAATTTGTCTTCTAGTATTTTTTAGCAGTTCATATGCATAAATCACCACAAATTTGATTGATTGATTTGTGGGGTTTAACGTCCCAAAACCACCATATTATTATGAGAGACGCCGTAGTGGAGGGTTCTGGAAATTTTGACCACCAGGGGTTCTTTAACGTGCACCCAAATCTGAGTACACGGACCTACAACATTTCCGCCTCCATCGGAAATGCAGCCGCCGCAGCCGGGATTTGATCCCGCGACCTGCGGGTCAGCAGCCGAGTACCTTAGCCACTAGACCACCGTGGCGGGGCCACCGCAAGTTTCCATAAAGTTATGTCAGAAATATAGTTGAACCTACAGATGGTTCAGAGAGGTAAGCAATTTGCGATGCATAATGAACTTGAAGAAAGCGCTTGGTGGATTCATAAACCGAGTTCTTGACATAATAGATTCATACATTACCCTTAATATTCCAGTAAAATGAGCATTACAAGCAGAGAAGATACTAGAGCATGTAAACCAAACTGGAGTGGATGATGAACAGCTTGAAAAAAGGCAAGGCACTTGTATGAGAGGCAGCCCTGTAGTCCTTGTGGAAGTCGAAACAACAAATTTAAGAATAAAAGATGTTGGCTTTTATGTGCATCTTTTTGTGCATGCATACTATACATTTACTGCTTTTGAAGACACTATAAGGCGTGATGGCATGCAATAAATATTGCTAAATTTATAAAAAGACAAGGTCCTGGTCACACAGCAGGCAGTAGTATGTGAGAATATCAACCTGAATCAGAGTGCCAGCACCTTATTCCTACTACCCTCTGATGGTGCCATCCGCTTCTTTGACTCTAACTCGTCCATTGGGATACCTGGTAACTTGCTTCCCATCCACATAAACTGTCTTGACGGTGCCGTTTGGGTAGTATCGGCTCTGGAACAAGGATAAACATCGCCAGTGTCAGCAATGCATTTCACGAAATACACTCACATTCTGTTAAGCCCTGTGATATTTATTTATTTATTATTTCAAAATACCTCACAGGCCCACTGAAGGGCATTGAGAAAGGAGGCATCAGTATACAAACGAAATAACAATAAAAGAGAAAAGCAGACGAAAATATATATATAAAAAAGATTACGAAAATCAAGGTGCAACAGCATTATACAATATTAGAGTGCAACGAAATCAGGTTATCACGAAAAGTTTTACGGTTAGAAATGGATACAACATAATCTGGAAGATCGTTCCAATATGCAATGGCTCAAGGTCAAGCAATATGCAATATGACCTTCGTCAAGCATTCCATTAGCAACACAGTGCTTCTGAAGCATTTCTTCAACTTTAACGAAGTATTACAACAAATTTTGAAATTCCTCACCAATCTTGTCATGGTCAAATTAATACATTAAACATATGCCAACAACATGTTACAGCATTGGGTTATACTAAAACATAATATACATGCCTGCAAGTGCAGCTGTAAAAAAAAAGAATTCAGAAGAAATAGACTTGAGCGCTTTGAAATATTTCAGTTTCATTCACTGGATAATTCTGGTCAGCTCATTTGCCAATCAATTAGAGCGTTTGAACTGAAATTGCCCATAATAAGTTCCTTGCAAGAGACGAAACTTTGAGTGAAGTTGTTAAAATCGAATGACTTAAGGAGTGTTTAATTTGGTGCTAGAAAAAATTCGTTACCTACACGTACAAAGCCCCAGAAAAATTTATATGAAGTTTACAACTCTCTACACCCTCAGGCCTTCAAATGTACTAGCAATTGAAAAAATGCTAATATTTGTCTAATGCTAATGGCTTGCAAGTTACATACTTTTCTTTCGCTAAGGTGGCAATTAATCACAAAAAAAAAAACACAGCCTGCAAAATTTTGGGTGCGAAGCAAGTTCGAATATTGAACTGTGAGTGTAAATCGAATCAAACATCTTTTGAACATTTCAAGAATATTTTTTGATAGTTCAAAGTTAAATTAGTGAAAAACGCTTTGAGAGGATTCCTAAGCATATTTTTATCACATAGGCAACATGAAACAGTTCCTTGTCGCTAGGTTGATGAAGCACTGGCTGGGTGGTATTTCATATTTGTCCAATCAAGAATTAGGCCATGCAAAGGCTGAACTGTATTAGCACATGATTTAGAGCAACCAAAGTGTGACGACAACACTTTACACATGAAAGGAAAAACAGCGATTCCCTCGGCCTCTCCCCCTCTTTCAACTTCTGTGGATGTGGCGGACAAGCCTGTGCTCCCTTCAAGTTGGGGAGTTCCACATCTGCCCAATAAGGTCAACATACAAGAACTTTGGAAATGTTGATGCTAAAATCTTCGGCTTCCGACTTTTCGGACTAGTCCAAAACAGCATTAATTGAGCCCCCACCTCTTGATAACTTGAATACTGTTATGGCGTTTATTAGCCGACACACAGCGAGTCTACACAATGGCGACAGTAACCGCCAAGCACAGACTCTCCACGCGAGCGGCGTTCTTTTTGGGCAGACCCACTAGAAAGCACTTGATTTCAATGTTCGGCGGCTTCTCTACAATTACCCCGGGGTCGAAGAGGGAGCCGCCTGGCGACCTAACAGCTTGTCACTACGAGCGGGTCATAGTAAGCCTTCAGGCGCTCCACGTTGACTATGTCGCGCCCGCGGCGGCGCATGTCCGAAGATTGTTCAATTGGCTCGATAAGATAGTTGACCGGAGATGTGCGCTCGATCACACGGTAGGGACCTTCATATTTCGGGAGTAGTTTGGAAGAAAGGCCAGCTACAGAGATCGGGATTGAGAGCCATACAAGGGAACCAGGAAGGAACGTGGGCTCAGAAGTGGCAGAGCCATTACGAATGCTCTTCTGCCGCTCTTGCTCATGCGTCGTAAAAGTCTTGGCAAGCTCGCGACACTCCTCAGCAAGCCTGGCGGTCTCGGAAATAGGTGTACACTCAGATGGATCCGGCGTGTACGTGAGTATCGTGTCGACGGTGTGTGACGGGTGTTTTCCGTACAGCAAGAAGAAAGGTGAAAAACCAGTCGTGCTCTGAGGGGCGGTGTTGTAGCTTGATCCGCGACCGTGTCCCAAAGAAGTGCGGCTGACTCGGCTTGCGAAGTCGAGAATAGTGCTTCCAGAGGCTGCAGCAGTGTAGAGCATGTAGGGATAAAGCGGCGATAAAAATTGACGAGTCCAAGAAAACGTCGTAGGCTGCGTATGGACGTGGGAGGCAGGTACTCGAGAATAGCTTGAACCTTGTCAGGTAGAGGAGTGATGCCATCTTTAGTGATCTGATGTCCGAGAAATGCTATCTCCGGGACTACAAACTGACACTTTTCTACATTGATGACAAGGTCGTAATCACGCAGTCGAGTGAAAAGCTGACGTAGATGTGCCTTGTGCGTTTCAGCGTCCTTGCTGGCAACGAGATCGTCGATATAGGCGAAACAAAACGGCAAGCCTCTTGTGACTTCGTCTATAAAACGCTGAAATGTCTGAGCTGCGTTTCTTAAACCGAAAGGCATTCGTAAATACTCATAGAGCCCAAATGGGGTAATTATTGCAGTTTTGGGATGTCAGAAGGCTCAACGGGGATCTGGTGATAAGCTTTCACAAGATCTATCTACGAGTATACAGTTGTGCCGGTTAAAAAGGCAGTACAGTCCTGAATATTGGGTAACGGGTATCGATCTGGAACGGTGACTGCATTGAGAGCTCGATAATCACCACAAGGCCGCCAGTCATTGTTCTTCTTGAAAACCATGTGTAGCGCCGACGACCACGAGCTTGATAACGGACGAATGATTTGAAACTGTAACATATGCTCAAATTCGTTGCGAGCAACTTGAAGTTTATCAGGGCCAAGTCGGCGATTTTTAAAGCTATAAACAAGCACATACATTAATTAACACACAAGAACCAAACAAGCGCTGAAGTCCCTGCCCTAAAAAGAGCACTGCACTGATCGGATAGCACGTAACAGCCACGTTGCAGACACAGCCGATGGACAGCTTAAAATTACCTTCAAAAGATCTGTGTTTCACGCATTTGCTTGGTAAAATGGGACTGGCTGAAGTGACAAACGCGAAGACTGAGAAATGTGCTTTCGAGCCCAGCGGGGCCATTGTGGAAGTATAGCAACTCGCAAAAAGAACTTCTCTTTACTTATTTACACAAAATAATTTGCCCCCTTGGCTGATAACACATCTTAATAATGCCACTTCAGCTAATAAATAATTTTTTATATCATTGCAGTACTTTACAAATGAGATATTTCTGACATGTTTTGAATATTTGGGGAGGTTGAAAATTTCAAGCATTTGGGACAGTAAACCTCACATATCAATCAAAAATTTCAAACAGCGACAATGCCTTACGATGTGAATCAAATACCAAATTATTCTAATCAAATATTTGAAGTTTCAAATATTTAGGACCAAAAGTGAGAAAGTATTATTGCAGGACTAAATGTGAATATGGTGAGGACAAAAGTGATGCTTAATGGCCTAGCTAAGAGTTCAAAATGAGCAACCAAACTTGGCATTGTGCACAATAGTAATAGGTATGCGTATGCCAATTACTCATATAAGCGCCTAGTCATGAAAAAGGAATTCACTGAATGGACGTACGATGGACATTTTCCAAGTTATGACAGGCAATCTTCCACTGCCCCTGAAGTAAAAAGTGAACGGTCATTGCATACTGCCAGTTCTAAGAGGCTGAAACTTAGAAAGTAACAAAGCAACTCAAGAAAACATTCACGACAACCCAGTGTTGGTACAGAGTAGGACAAATCACAGGAGTAGGACAAACTACAGAGGTAGCCATAATTTTATGTGACATTAAAGGAAAAAATTGGATTTGAGCAGGAAACAAAGCAATAATTGATGAGTTATTAGAGCTATGAAATAGGGATGAGCAACGCAGCAAAGGACGACAGAAGACTACATGGGGTGATAAAAATTGGAGACCCTTAAGAGTTGATTGGACTGGGTTAACTGGCGGAACATGGGAGAGGCCTTTGTCCTGCAGTGGACATAGTCAGGCTGATGATGATGATGATGAAGAGTTGATTAGCAGCCAGGGGCCCAAGGTGTGTAGTCGCACCTCACATGGGCTCCTGCTCTTATTGCAATTTTCCGTGCAACCTTTCCTGGATACTGCTCGCATTTGGTGACCTAGGATTTCTCACGTTGCAGGGCATCGTTTGACACCAGACTCATCGCAGTGAGTGTACTTTTTTACTAGATATTGAACTCTAAACATATTGTGCCTGTTCGCTGGGACGCAACATTGCCAAGGAATTCAGAGGCCGCCCTGCACACGAACGCCGCTGTGGCACAAAGGAGGGGCCTGCGAAACGAGCTGGACGCCAGCGGCTTGTAGGTGCTTGAGCATGCTGCTCGCGCAACACACAGACACAGCATCTGAGGTTAAGAGCTACCGTTCTCATGGAAACGCAGATGTCTAACCCACGTCAAGAGGGCCCGATTATGATGCAACTGTACAACATGGAGGGTAGCTCAAGAACGGCATCACACTGGACGTTTGCTGAAAATAGTGGCAAAACGACAGGCAAAGCCCACATTGAGTGGCTACAAGCTGGCTGCAAAGGCAGGTCAGCCAAAGAAGACAAGTCAGCCGAAGAAGGAGCTACACAAACTGTGAAGCCAGACGCCAAATCTCAAAGGCGGCGTCAGCGCAGCACTAGGATGCGGCCATTCCCTACAGATGACCTCAAAATTGTATTCCGCCCGCAACCAGGACTAGATCTTTCGAAGCGAACACTCATCGAGGTTACACATGCCATCGGAAGATCCAGTGGCTTGGCACAGCAGGACTTTTATGACCATGTGCGAGTGCAAGTGCAGAAAGTAGAGAATGTGATCATCGCAAGCACAGTAAGTACTGAACGAGCTTCCAAACTACAAAGTATAAATGCTATACAGCTCGGTGGAGTAATATATCAAGTAAATCTGCACATTCGACACCCCGATGATGTGTGCCGCGAAGTGATCTACGGCCTCGAACCAGGAACAAGCCCCACGGAGATTGTTGCAGGACTTCGCGTAGACCCAAGATACCACGTCCTTGGCGCGTGCACGCTGAGATCTTCCACTGCAGCACTTATCACTTTCGACGGGCAGCACATTCCTTTTTACGTAACGTACCTCAGTGGAGACTACCGGTGCAAGCCATACCGGTAGTCCATCCAATATTGCCGAACCTGCGGCGCCCTAGGTCACCGACAAGACATCTGCCCTCAGCCAAAAGCGAACTTCTGCTACAAATGTGGCCACGACAAGGACACAGAAACACATGACTGCCAACCGATGTGCAAGATCTGCGGAGAAGACCATGAGACTGCTGGAAAGGAATGCAAGAAGAAACTCCGCAGCAACCCCCCTCCTTATCAAGTAAGACGCCAGCAGCTCGATAACGCCTGCGCCGGTGAGAATCGCTGGAATGCTCACACTGATGATTTACCCTGGTCGGTTATAACACCCAAAATTTCACGGGCCCCCTCTTTTCACCAAAAATCTGGCTGAAGTCGCTCTCGCTCTAAAAAAAAAAAAAGGTCGCTCTGGATCCCGCACGCCATCACGGTCTCGCTAGGTCCCGTTAGGGGAATCAGTTACGCCACCGCGGTGACCGGTAGTGACAGGCCCAGTTCTCTAAATACCACAAGTGCCTCGACCATCTCGCCTGCTCAGACAGCGACCATCCTGGCTCTAGAAAATAAAGTCCGAGATCTACAACGGAGGATACAACAACGCCCACTAGCCGAGTGTAGCACGCTGGAACTTGACGACAGCATACTAAAACAGACGGAAGCCAGAATAATGAAGCGGGTAGAACTTCAAGGGACATTGAACACAAAGAAGACTTGGCGCATTCTTCGAGCCCTGATCGACGACACCCACACCAAAACTAATCAAAGAAAAACGATTCAGCGGCTCACGCACAACTATGAGAGCACAGAGCGCCAGTTACTGCAAGAACTTCAAGCAAATCTGCGCGGCTCTATTAACCAGCAAGCTACCTCCATCAAAACTTCGACACCCAGGGAATACCGAGGAGCCCCGAACGAAGCACTAGACCAACCCTTCACGCAGGCAGAGCTACACGCGGCCCTCGCTAAGCTTACGCGCAACACGAGCCCAGGAAAAGACAGAGTGACCAACAAGCACCTACGACAGCTACCGCCCCGGGCGTTGACGGTGCTCCTTCGGCACTATAATGACTGTTGGAGGAAGGGCGAGCTACCACAAGCCTGGAAACACTCGGAGGTGACCATGGTATCCAAGCCAACCAGGCCAATCTCGATTGCGAATATTCGTCCCATTTCCCTTACATCTTGCGCTGGGAAACTCTTTGAGCATATGGTAAACGAGCGGCTTACTATACACCTCGAAGACAATGGTCACTACCCGAACACCATGTTCGGCTTCCGCCAAATGCTCAGCGCACAAGACGGCCTCTTGCAGATAAAAGAAGATATTATTCTCCGCTTAAGCAAGCACAGTAAGTCATCTGGTCTAGCTCTGGACGTAAAGGGTGCGTTTGACAATGTGAGTCACGAAGCCATTCTGCGTAGCCTGGTAGATGTCGGCTGCGGAGCCAAAACATACGCCTACAAGCTGGCTTTCCTCACCAACAGCGCAGCCACTGTAGGGATTGCCAATATCCAAAGTGAGCTTTTTCAACTCCCTAACAAAGGCATGCCGCAAGGCTCAGTGATATTACCACTGCTTTTCAACTTGGCCCTCCTTAAGCTCCCATGTCTCTTGGACGCTGTCCCTGGGATACATCACGCATTATACGCCGATGATATCACTATATGGACAAGAGGTGCAAGCACGGTGTAGTGACATGTATTCAGAAGGAGTACGGCCACTAGCGTGGGTCTGGTCTTAGCGAGCAGCAGAGCACGCGTTAACCATCACCGTGTTGAGAACATGATGCTGCTCAAGGTTGCAACACTTTATTGTCTGTGGCAACACCAAACGCAGTACAGCCCATTGCAAAGGCGCAGCGGGAAAGCAAATGGGCTTACCCAGGTCACGGGCGTAAAAGTACTACACAGGGTGCCACGAGCACATCTCCGTGGTAAAGGTGATTCACGGAGACACCGGGACCAAGACCCGGTTGCTGCAGTGAGGGCAAAGGCACTCGCGTTGGCTTCGGAGAATGACGGGTCGGCGTAGCTAGGCCACGCACTAGGACACCGTACCACACTTCGACCGAGCATATGCAGAGGGGCAACAAAAAATTAGCATTCGCCCTGAGCGCGAGGCGCCGTCAGCGAAGTCTGACAAGCCCCGAGCGACAGGAGTCGGCGGACGGAAAAGATTGCCTGACTCACCGTCAGCTGCCCCGGAGAGTATGTGACCCACTCCCCACACATGCGCGCAAAACCTCTCGGGAGACCCTGTGCGCGGCACCACAGTCGACATCCACTACCTGGTGAGAGGGGTTAAACCTCAATCCGCTCTCCCAGCGCGGCTGACAGCGGAGGAGGGGAGTCATGTCGGGACATGAGAACTGCAGAAAAGGTGGCAAAGCCCACTCAAAGGCAGCGGGCGAGCCTCAATTCCCACATTGGGTGAAGAGGAGGACCGACTTCAAGAGGCGGTTAACATCACTGAAGAATATCTCAAGACCTGCGGCCTCCAATGTGCTCCGGAAAAGTTGGAACTGTTAGTACTTGCAGCACGTACCCGGGGTTGACCACCAAGCTATGACGCTTCTTACCCACAAGTCTTTTTACAGGGAGTCCGAATACCACAAGTCGACACGCTTCGAGTCCTTGGACCACATATACATAAAGATGGGTCTGGCTCTGCTGCCCTACCCCGGCTGCAGAACACTGTGACACAGCTCACTCACCTAATCCGAAGGATGGCTAACCGCCGCAGTGGCTTCAAGGAGCACGACACCCTAAAAATGGTACAAGCTCTCCTTTACAGCCGCATAACGTACGGAACTCCCTACATCAACCTGAAGACAGCAGAGAAACAAAAACTTAATCTGCTGATACGAAAGGCTACAAAGCTTGCCCTAGGACTGCCGCCAGCCGCCTCCACTGACCGACTGCTTCGCATGGGAGTTTACAATACGTGGGAAGAACTCATCGAAGCACACCTCATCAACTACGTCAAAAGACTCAAGCTGTCACTCACAGGGCATGCCGTCCTTCCACGCACAAAATACGAGACCACCCTAGAACCCAAGAAAGACCTCAAAAGCAGAATACCGTCACAGCTCAGAAAATGCCTTAAAATTCAGCAAATCCCTCGGAACATGCATCCCCAATATAACCGAGCAAGGCGGCTCGCAAGGGTTAACATCATCCGGAAAAACCTTAGCAATGACCCGCAGGCGCGATATGTGGATGCAACCAAATATCCGGGACGTAATGCCTTCGCGATTACCGTCACAGATTACAAGAGCGCGGTACTGGCATCGGCGACTATCCTCGCCAAACGTGCGGAAACATTTGAAGAGGCTGCTATAGCACTCGCCACCCATACAAGTGAGGACCCCATCGTGGTCTTTACCAACTTACAAACAGCGGCACGGAACTACCTGAAAGGCAGGGTCTCTACGATGGCAATTAGGCTACTAAAGCGCATGGACAATCCTCCTCCCTACACATGCATCATGTGGATTTCGGGTCATGAAGATCTCGAGGGAAATGAAGCGGCACACACCGCAGCCCATGAATGCGTCAACCAGGCATTCCCGTACGAGATCAGAGGCACCTCTCAATCAACATCAGAATCAGAGGCAAGAGAACCGGTACCACTAACGTATCATGCATTGCTGCAACATTATTAACTCGAACGCAGGTCATACCCTCCGCCACATCCAAAACTCACAAGAGACGAAGGCGCTGACTACAGGCGTTTTCAAAGCAACACGTTCACCCACGGCGTACTATTGCACTATATGAGGCTAACGTCGCACAGCTACATCTGTCCTCACTGCAATGTGGCAGACACTCTGGCGCACTTCCTCCTGCAGTGCAAAGTAAGCATCCCAAGACTACAAGCAGCAGCCCCAGATGCAAACCAAGACCTCCTCAGTGAAGCGTGGGAGGCTACGATCTCCCAGCCGTACCTGGTCGAGCAGCGTCAACTTGTCGCTCGGGCCCGGCGGGCTGTCCAAGCCAGAGGGTTCCTGGAATAAGGGACCCTCCCACTTTCACTCACATGCTTCATTCAATAAATGTTTTTCTCTCTCTCCTTAAGAGTTGAATGTGATATCCTGTTTCTAGTGCCTATTTAAACACTTGTATAAAATTTTTTTGAACTTGCTTTACACCCATTGCGTGGCCTTAAGGGTGCAGTAGCGTGTGCGCCCTTTGTAGAGGGTGATTGGCTTTAAACTGTGAAGTCATGTTAATAATCCCATGTTCTGATGCCCGATGATAAGATATGCATTACACGCATTATTATTACACGCATTAATACAGCAATGTTTCATGTTGTATTGTGAAGCATATATGCAGGATGCATTTGTTTGTAAAGCATGAAAGTTACTCTCATAGTATTCGCAAGCAGAAACATGGCTGTGTGGTAGACCACCCGTTTGGCATGCAAAAAACCTGGGTTCAATCCCCGCTCAGACCCTTTTTTGATTATTTATTCTATTTGCATATTTCTCAATTTTACAGCCATGGAAAAATACTCAATTTTTCGCTCACAACCAATGACGCCAATGCCAGAATTTCTTCGAAATAAGCTCTTTAATGCTATTGCATTAAAATCTGCAGGCAAAACATTGGCTTGGCTTGCCCAAGACAGGGCGCGTTGGAGATCATTGGTAAAAAGTTTTGTATGGCAGTGGACGCAAAACAATCCTGACAATGTGGGGCACATTAGTTCATGCAAGGACACTAAATAGAACTTATTACCCTGTAATGTTCACTGCGAACCTCCTTTTGGCCATTTGGGTAATCGATTGTTTCTGTGCCATCTCTGAGTCTCCGAGCCACGATACCATCTGGCGTCTTCTGTTCCTCTTCTCCAGTACAGAGGATACGGCGCACGGTGCCGTCCGGGTATGCAACCTCAACATTTCCATCCACGCTGTGCGTCTCAACTTGACCGCTGGTTGATCAAAAATAAGTACCGATAGTTACTGTTGGGCTCATGCACATCACTCTTAAGAAAGTGCTAAAATTACACTTCTAGCTTCACTTTATCATGGTTCGAGAACAAAATACAGAGCCTGATAGCACATTGAATAATTCACTGTATTAGTTTTCTATGAATCTGCATATGTATCCTAAAGTAATGACAGAAGTTGCATGGACGCAGGGCATAGCAATTCTTCCCTTCAGCTAACTGCAATGCTGCTACTCACTGTGCAGCACAGCTGAGTGACCACCACCTCCGCAATGAAGACAAAGCACTAGTACCTTCTGGAATATTGTAGTAAATTGACTCCATAGGTTACCGTGCTGTCCATAAGTTTCGCCGCAACGGGGAAGCAATGATTGTGACGGCAAGGAATTGAAATGTTATACAAAATAGGGCTAGCAGGCAACTTTAGGCTTGTGCGAATATTAAAATGCTTCAAACGTCACTGCATTTGAATTTGTTTTGGTTCGAAATCGCTGAAAATTTTGAAATATTCGAGATGAACGAGTAAACCTCTATTATTCAACGTGTAACACCCTGTAAAGATGGTTTTACTGCAGTGGAGAAGTGCTAAGCCGTGAAAAGATTAAAAAAAAGAATCTGCACTGCCGCAAAGCCCTACTTCAAGGTTAAATAAACATATTGCCCTCACATCGATTCATAATTTTCTAAGTGATAGGTTGTTATTCTGGCTTATATGCTCTAAGTATTGTAAATTATAAAAACGTTGAAAAAAAGTGTTCAAGGTCATGAGGCACGCTGACTCAGCCCCTCCCTGTGTGGGTTTTAGTGTGCTCACTGCTACGAAAGGAGATGGAAAGCACTTACAGAATGTGGCAAATCTCAGTAATTCTGCTTGTATTTGATAGATTCTAAAAGGTTTTGCAGCAGTCCATCCATGAGGCAATGGGATCGTTTAACGAAGCCATTAGACAATTGATTGTAAAAGTGTTGTAGGACTCTCTTAATGTGGCATGTGGCTCACGCTGATCCAAATGCAGCATCATGGAGACATTGCTAAACTGTGTGTCGGTGCTATGGTCCCACTGGAATAGCCGTAATTCGTGAAATGAGACGTAACATCTTCTTCAGGTTATGACTTGCATTCTACTGAAAGTGAAATCCTGCCACGATTGAAAGTTATTTCCACTCCAACCAAAAGGGGCTGGCATTTACATAGGCCTTACTTGAATTAAAACAAAATATTATGCAGGTAAGTTGGCTCATGAAAAAAAAAAATGCCCACCTTTTTTTAATAATATGTGATATATACTATTCTTACTCAATTTGAAGTTATTCAACCAAAATCACTATTTGCTTCAAGTTCGCTTTGAACCTAAAACTCACTATTTGCACAAGCCTAGTCAACACAATTAGTATCTACATTGGCATCTGACCTGGTTAGAATCTAACTTCTTCAGCATCCAAGTTTTATAGTAAGTTGTATTCATTTCTGGAACACTGTGTTCAGGCAGCATTCACCTTTCTAGCACTCATGAACATCTGGAATGGCTCCACAAAATACATATCTTGCTACCAGCACAACATGCATTTCATATCAAACTTTTAAGAAGTGGGAAGACACTACAATGGACATTATATGTGGGGGTGCTCACAACCCCTGCCTCATGGTTCCCACGTGTTATAGTTAAATCCTGCAGAGCGACAGTTGATGCTGTGCTGTCAAGACGGTGCGGCATTGCGGAAGCAAGATGACATGGTGTGGGGAGGGAGGGCTATTTCTTTAGTGCAACCACTGGGGGTGGTCCGTGGGATTGATACCACGGCTCATTCTCATGGATTATCGTGGTGGATCAAAATTTCGAGTGCTGGCTATGCCATATTTGCAGCACATTGCATGTGTTATGTTGGTAAGTGTTATACTGGCATTCTGTTGGGTTATTTGTCATGTTACTAGTTATTAGATTCAGCAGGCGAGTTCATTAGATAAAGGCTGCTAGTGAACTATTCGTTCGCACAACGGCGCATACTGATCTTGTCTGAGCAGAGAGCGGCTTGTAAGAGACCACAGTTTGAGCAGTTTGCAAACTACGCATTCTAAATGTAGTCGAAATTACTGCCAGATTCAGTGAATGACAATTCAATTACCACTGTTCATAAGTACCACGTGTAACTGAATGAGAGAAAAGGAATTTTTTTTCAAAGGTTTTTGTTTCTTTGTTAGATACAATTAAATTAATAAAAAAGACGATAATAAAACCTAAGAAGCATAATATTTCATTTTTCCTAATTCTACTGTAATAATTATGACATAAACTGAAAAGATTTAAAGCTAAGACGGAAGGCACTTTCACATCCACTCTGTTAGTTATTTCTGAACGCGTTATTCCTGAAAGTGTTAGTCAGCACTACCAGTGGTTAAGGTGGTTTTAAGGCAGATTTTTGCATCAGGTGGCAGCTAACCAATAAATCCTTCATTGTCACCTAAAGGCATTACGCCTGCTGGGGCAATACCTTCACTATGGAAAAAATGAACAAGGGGGATTTTCTTCCCCCCTGGGCCTCATTTCTTTGTTATATACAACCAAGTGGACCCAACAAACAATGAAGTCAAAAAAAGCATAGAGGCTTGATAGTATCTCATTTTTCGCTATAGGTTTATTAATCTCGGATGTCATTAGAAATATAATATCTTAAGGTGAAGTGGCGAGCCAATCTCCTATTGCAGAACAGCACATACCCCTTAGTACTTACCCAGGTTGTGAAAAATGGGACATTAAGCATATGTAGACTTACTTGGAAAACTTGATTTCTTTCTTGCCACAAGGGTAAACTGAGTGAACAGTCCGACTCTTTGCATAGTGATAGACCTAAACAATAAAGACAGCAGAGTGATCATCAGCTGTACTATTTTCATTTCATCAATGTCATGATGGTGTGCTGTGCCACTTAAAAGCAAGAGGGGAACAAAATGTGAATTATTTACTGCAAAGCTCAGCACAGGCAGCAAACAAAGATTCCACTAGTCCAGTCTCCTTTGGGCTACTGCTTGCCTCAATAAAGCACAGTTTACTACTAGACCTTGACATACCTATACAGTGTAACATTACGGCACATGGCAATAGCACAGCATCATGCTATCAGCTACAGTCAATCTTCACCAAGTAGCACAATTTTTCATCCTGTTGAGCAACAGCAATCTATATAGTACCAACTTGCAGTCTCTCCTTTTGAAATGTGAAGCATTTGCTCGCCTAGCAAACCAGTCCTATTATCAAGATTATTTGATAAATAATTCCTGGTTTTCATAAAATTACCTTTTGTGATGTGGTCATGAAAATTGTGTTTAAAGAAATCTTGAAGTGGATAATGTAAATGATGCAAAAGTGACATTCAAATCTTCATTTAATGACTAATAATAACTATTTTGCAATCATAATCTCAAGCAGTGCAGTTTAAAAGGACCCTCATAATACATTTAAGACATATTTGTACAGTTTCCTACCACTTCGTCACGAACACTTTGTAGAAACTACCTTGTCTGTGTTCAAAAATATAGATAAGCTAACCGACACATATCAACCTTTAAAGGCCACTAAAGGCAAATAACAATTTATGTCAGAGTGAAAGCTCAATGTATGACAATGTCTAAAACAGCAATATTATCAACAGCAGTGCCCTTAAAAAAATTTGACGACGCACACCACCAGGAAATAGGTGAAAGAAGAGCGTCATTCGCTTATTCTTCTCTGGTGGTTTGCGTTATCTAATTTTCTTACAACATGCACCAACTAACCCACCAACAAGGTTTACAACAGCAGTGCCCTACTTACTGAGAAATGAAACTAAATGTGCTACACGACGTGTGCCATGAGTGGGGCAGTTTCGAACTGATCCCGATAATGTGAGAGTGGCAACTAAAATTAATCCCTAGTAATCAAACTAGCTGCAAGAATTAAAGAACCTTCCACACATTAAGAGACGAGCTGCTTGCCTGTTGCTGTTTGAGTTATACAAAAAAGAACCGCATGGCATTATTACTATGAGCAATGGTGCGATTGGTTCAATTTTTCTTTGGTTAGGCTGGACAGGTAGTTCCATCTAGCTGGGCTCAGTTGAACCAAGCAAGCAGAAAATTGTTCAATGGCCGTTGTTGCTGTTGTGGTTCCCGCTGCTTTGGCTCTGCTGTCACTAGCTTTGGCAGCCGCTTACTAAAGGTGAGCAACATTGGGCACCACAACAGTGATGTTTATTCAGACCACTTTGAGGCGAATATTTAAAGTGTGCTAATGTGATGCGGACCACTAAAAAATAACTTCATTTCGAAATAGGCACTTCCTTGGCACGAAAGTAGCACTACGAGGTATCTGGACCACTATTTCAGCAGTCAACATCGACTTCATATTTGCCTTTAACGTCCCTTTGAACATTCTACACTAATAATGAAACACCATGGCATAGCACAAACTTAAAAAACTACAGAATAAAAAAAAACTAAAATTAAGGCAGCTTCGCACAATAAGGGAGCCAGTAAGCCTGAAGTAAGTGACTCCTTCCTCCTTTCTTCGTTTTTGTATTTGCCAGTGTGTTCTTCCTTGCTTTGTCTCCCTTTTTTATATATGTGGTTTTGCCTGTGTTATGCCAAGCGACTACAGCAGCGTACGATCACAGCATACGACAACCCGTTGCCCCGAAGTGCTCCGCACTTATAATGTTTTTTCCATACAGCTGAAAAATTTCCTCCTTTTCTAGCATATAAAAATGCCGCAAACTCACACTTTAGGGCCCTATGGTCAGCCAAGCTTTCACTGTGCACATCTATTCATTAATTGGACACTTCCAAACATTTCAGAACACCGCTCAGTCATACTTCAATGCACTCTTACTCTGGCACTTCATTGAGAAACTGGTATTCTCTATTTTCAAAACTGGACCAGCCCAAGATACAGGCCTCTTACGTATGTACCATTCGAAGTTATGAAACACATATCTTACATGGTATAAAATCTCGAGGGACGCTGAGCTGCGCGCATGTGCCTCCGCGTCGCTCCAGTCTTTTGCATCTGTGTGATCTCTTATGTGCCAACTTTCATCCGGATTTTTGTTTGATCGAGTCTGTTTCGTCCCCCTGATCACGAGAAAGTGCGGATTGTCCTCTCTGAGTGAATTTTCGACATTTTTCAGCACTTTCAACTTTGCGCCACTGAAGCCTAGTCTGACCTAGCTAGGAACGATGGCCGCTCAAAGCAGCGTTGGCACGGCTACGCTTGCAATGGCAGGGAGCACTTTGACGCCACTTCAATCGATGCCAAGCATCTGTAACCCCGTTGAAGAGGGCGAAGAACATGAAATGAAAGCAATGGAAGTAGCTGAATGGCAAGTGGTTCAATCTAAATCGGCCAGGAAGAGGCAAGCAGCGGAGAGCAGCTTATCTCAAACCAATGCTTTAGGACGCTTTCAACACAGCAGAAAGGTTGGCAACCGAAGCAGCCACCGGGCAGCTACCTTAAAGAAGAGTGATCATGGCCTAGTGTACGCCAGAGCTACCTTCTACGCATCGGAAGATTACTGTCAGATTCCGAGATGGTCTGGATTTATGCAAAACCAGTTGCTATGGCATCTTCACCGCCACCTTTGCCGCGACAGGGATCACCGCCATTCAAGTCTGCACCGATTTGGTCTGCCGCAATGTCATGCAAAACATCGTTGTGGTGTGCACCGAAAATGAAGACAATGCTAGCAAAATCTTGGCTCTCAAGAACATTCGCGTCAACGGGAAAGAGCACGAAGTAGCGATGTACACTGCTATCGAAGGCATCTATGTCAAGGGAGTAATCTGCAACGTCGAGCGCGACATCGGCGACGCCAAGCTCGCAAGGCTCGACGTACACCAGGGAAATCCCACAGTTCGCGGAGCCAAACGCATCAAGGATACCGGCTCAGTAGTCCCTCTTTTTGATGGAGGAGACATGCCAAGCTACATCAGAGTTGGCCAGGCAATAGTCCAGTGCTACCTTTACAAGAAGCAGATCGAGGTGTGCAGCAAACACACTCGCACTGGTCATCGTGCGGACCTCTGCCCCACTTCTTTGATCAATATTTGCCACAACTGTCGGGCCAAGGACCCGAAGCAAGGACACTCGTACCAAGTGAGGTGCAAACTCTGCGGCGAGGGTCACTGTACGGGAAGCAAAGCCTGCAAACAAAAGCACCAGACACCTTTTGTTATTTTGCAGAAGCGAAAGAAAAAAGAAATGGAACGAGCCTTTGACGTGGACCTGCGGAATTCCCCACGCTCCAGGCCGGGTCGCCTAGGGCGTCTACAAGTGGCTGGCTGCAGCCTTTCACCATAGGACAAGGATCCGCGCTTCCCGTCACCGCGAATTGGGCCTCCAAAGACAACAGTGAAGAACCTTACAGTGCACAAGCTGCACCCTCTACCCAGGTAAGCAGGGACACCACTACCTCTAAGGAGTTCGAGGAGCTTAAGAAAATAAGGAACAACAATGCGAAACTCAGCTCAGAGTTAGCGGAGGTCAGAAAGGAATTAGCAATGATTAAAACCGTCGTTTCAGCAGCAAGACCAGATGGGGACCAAAATGGTGCTAATGGTCGGAAGCACCAAACTGTAGATGATGTTTCCGAGGTCGACGTAACTGAAACTCTTCACCAAATCAAAGAATCCTTGGAGCAGATTTCTTCGACGCTTCAAGAAATCACCAAAGACAGAGAATCACTAAAGGCACAGAATCGTTTTATTGATTCCCACCTAAGGGATCTTGAGCGCAGGACGCGTCTCCCGGAGTCTCTGGCACTCCCGACAGAATTATCGCAGTTAATATCAGACAGACCCCACCGTTGTGACAGAGCTTGTACAAAAGCAGATACCATGCCCTCCCAAGCAATCCGAAGGCTCATCCTTTTGCTAAATTTAAATGCTAATCATGGCTGCGGTATCCAACACCAACTTTCGTGTCTGGAAGTGGAACTGCTGCAGATTCAAAAAGAAGAAAACAGTGTTAGCTCAATACCTTTTACCGTGTGCATCAAAACCACAAGTAATTTTATTATAAGAGACGCTCACGTCTTGCACGCCGTTTAGAGGTTACGAGTCCTTTAAACGCGTAAAGAATGGTGGCAGAGACGTCATTACTTTGGTCAAAAAGTAATGACGAATTGATCATGAAGACATAGATAAGCGCTCTAATGCCGAATATGTGTGCACAAAACTCTTACCGAGAAAGCACATGTGCAGAGGATTGCTTATCATCAACGTATATCGTTTGCCAAAACGACAAGATGAGCGCTTCGAAGGCCTCATAGGCAAAGCAGTAAAGATGGCTACCGTGCCGGCATATCCCTAATTGTAGCTGGCGACTTTAAGGCGCCTCACTCCACGTGGGGCTACGTTAGACACACACAAAGAGGCTTCAATACGCAAGGCTATACAAGACTTCAATCTCACGCTACTAACGAATGCTGGCTTTCACTCATTTAGGCAATTTGGTAACGAGACTTTTGACCACAGATCTCTCTCTGGTTACCTATGGCAGCAAGTCGTCATGACGAAACATGGGGGAAGATCTGGGTTCCGACCATCTCATTATTAAAATGACACTGCATGCTCAATGCAAAAGCACCAGTATACAGCGCATCATTGATTGGGACCTCTTCAGTTCCACCAGAATTGACAAAGCCCCTCCTAGTGACTATGCAGAGTGAATAGAAACCTTCTTTTCTGATGTCTCTGCCTCCATTAAAGAAATATAAACAGAAAAGAGTGTACCAACTACAAACAGCCACTTAGCGCACCTTTTTGACGCTGGAATGTCTCTCAAAAAACACTGGCTAAAGAACAAACTGAACAGATTACTATGGAAACGCATTGCCAAGATCAATGCCAAAATTGCATCATACTCTAAAGTGCTAGAACAAAAACACTGGATCGAAACGTGTGACAAGGTCGATGGTCAGATGAGGGTAGGCGGCAAGTGGAACTTGCTTAGACACCTTCTGAAACCTACCGACACTCGAGTCGCTCAGAAATCGGGCATCGAGAGACTTGTTCACCAGGCATTCACTTATCGTAGCGAAGATTTGATCATGCAAGATCTAGCTGAATATCACCTCCCACTAGATACCACCTCATCCACGCCATCACCCGGTTACACAGGAAGTGATTCCGCCGAGCTGGACAGAGACACATCAGAATGGGAAGTCAGGTCTGCACTTCACAAACTCAACAGCACCTCGGTGCGAGGCGCTGACTGCGTCCCAAACCGCATGCTCAGGAACCGTGACAATGAATCGGTCACCTTCCTGACCGATTTATTCAACAAACATTTGAAAAATTGCTCATATGCACACGAGTGGAAGCACGCCACGGTCATACTGATACTGAAACCCGGTAAAAAATGTACAACAAAAAATCTTCGACCGATCTCGCTTAAATCCTGTGTGGGCGAAATTTTCGAACATGTTATAAACGATAGGGCCTCTAAGTAGATAGAGCGTAATGACTTCTTCCCATCTAACATGGTTGGCTTTCGCCCACATCTTTCTACCCAAGACGCCATGCTTCTCATTAAATCGCAGGTAATCGATGCCTCTACCAGAGATCCCAGAGTCATTTTGGCTCTGGATCTTAAAAAGGCATTCGATACCATACTCTATGGTCACATTCTCAAAGCCATCTCCGAGCTGGGCCTCGGTAGGCATTTTTTCTTTAATTTTGTAAGGCAGTTCCTGTCAGATAGAACCGCCACCATAAAGTTAAGGGAGATGGAATCAGACAAGTTTCATCTAGGCAACGCAGACACTCCGCAAGGGGCGGTGATCTCGCCTCTTCTTTTTGACATAGGTATGACGGCTCTAGCCAGGGATCTATATAACAATGACATCAGCTCCGCCATCTATGCCAACATCGCCCTTTGGTCCCAGGGTGGCTCGGTGGGCCACACCGAGAGTACGCTTCAAGAAGCTGTGCGCACAGTCGAGAAACATATGCCTCGGAAGAACCTTGCCCTATCAGACAACAAGTCCGAACTGTTTGTTTACCGACCCATTCACATGGGACGACGCCCTAATGGATGAGTACCTACACCAGAGATAGACATACACCTGTTCACGAAGAGCAGCACGGAAATCCCCCGCAAAGACACTATACGCATACTACACAAGTTCATCTCTGAGAACGGCAGGAATGCAGCTATGATACAGAAGCTGCAACAGCACATTGCTGCCATCGTTCGACTTATTCAAAGGATCTCAGGTAGACGAGAAGGCATCAAGGAGGACAACCTCCTCCGGCAATTCCATGCCTTCCTTTCAAGTCATATCAATTACGTTGCCTCTATGCACGCTTGGATTACTGCCGCAAAGGGCAAACTAGAAGTCTTGATTCGACAAACTGTCAAAAAGGTATTGGGCCTCCCTTCTCGAACGAGTACCATGAAACTCGAGGTGTTGGGTGTTCATAACAAACTTGACGAATTAATCGAAGTGCTGCGCACTGCCCAGATTTCCAGACTTTCGTGCACTAGAGCCGGCAAGTCGATTATATCCAGAGCAGGTATCACCTCTCCTCTGACTAAAGAGAGAGCAGTTCCTCTTCCAGACACTGTAAGGTAGACAATAATGGTTCATCCAGTACCAAGAAACATGCATCCGGTACATAATCAGGGTAGAAGAAGAGTGAGGGCTAAAGCTCTCCTCTCTCACTTGAATAGCAGAAGTGAAAACGCACTCTTCGTAAACGCATTTCGATCAGGACCAAATATTTTTGTGGCCGCAGTGGTAGACATGAGTGGCTGCACGGTTAAGGCCGCCTCGGTGAGGACCAAGTCAATCGGGGTGGCTGAACAGGTCGCTATCTCTCTAGCGCTTACGACTAAACATCCTTTCCCAATTTTTTCTGATTCCATGACGGCCGTCAGGTCATTTGACGCCAACCAAATCTCTTTGGCTGCTTACAAATGTATTACTAACGGAACAATATTTCCTCATGAGTTGACATGGTTCCCCGCCCACATGGGCGCCTCCGTCTCTGGCATCAGCAACCCCAACGAAATGGCTCAGCCTCGGTCGCAAGGACTCATTCTCTGCGCCGTGCTAACGAGCCCTCCTCATACTGGGGGGGAGTGGAGTGGTGATGGCGCCGACAGCGACCCGTTGACCACCTTTCATGAGTTATGCTCGCACTACCGATTACGAAGAAAATCTTCTCCAGATTCGCACAGAGAGCTAACAAGGAGACAGCAGATAGCCCTCCGACTCCTCTAAACTAGCTCCCTTCCGTTGCCAGCCACTATGGCGCTGTATATGGACATTTTTCCTAACTGCTCGACATGCGATCAGCTCACCAGTTTTCCTTATTTGGTGTGGTGGTGCCCACGCTTGCGCGCCTTAACAAGAAGGCATCACGTAAACGAGACAGACATTTTAGAATGTATGGCAAGTCCACAACTTGCGAAACAACTCCGGGCGGTCCAGGGAGCCTGTGAACCGATCGAAACCTCTGGTCCCCGACACCGTCACGGGTGCAGCCCTCGGTGGGTTCTTAGGAACCTTCTTTCCAAGACGGAAATAAAGTTAGTCTGTCCGTCCATCCGTCTGTCTGTCTCTCTGTCTGACTGACTGACTGACATATCTTACATGTGCACATTTAGTTGACTGTCTTGAAAATAACTTCTCCACAGTTGTGAAGCATGGATTCCGTAAAACCTTGGCTCATTGTCTTCAGCAATCACATATTCGCCAATCTAGGCTGGGATTTTTGACAAACCCTGACTCAACTTCAATGCGGACTAAGTCAACAATGCATTTCTTTTTAATTTAATAAACATTCCAAACATAAGAGCCTTCCATAATTAGATTCACACTATTCAGACATTACTTGTTGAATTTGTAACCGCTTGTGACGACTTGCAAAGACTTGTGCACTGTCATTTATTATTCCTTTTTCACATAAATGAACTATTCAATCTTCTTTTGAACATTTTTGCTAGCTTGTTTGTTGGTTTGTTTGAATTTATTGGCTCAAAAAGGACTTAAGCTGTGCTGTTCCAAGAGCAGAGTGTGACAGGGTTCAAAGGTAGTTTGAAAAAACTTGCCTTATTTAAAGTCTGTTCAGATAACTGACTTCACTTGAAAAATTCTTGACATTTACAAGAGGCACAAGTGCATAGTTTCTTAAAATTAAAGGTTGGGGGTAATGGAGTGTTTTCTATAGTGTGCTGAAGTGTTTTTGTCTTTTCCTTTCAATATACGGACAAGTAATTAGAACATGCAATACTTTTGATCGAGCACAACACTTTTCACGTATTTGCTGTGCTGTTTTCGCGAGTAGATAACTGTGCGTGAGATGTGTGTGCCCTAGTCTGTCATTGTCACTGAAAGCACTGTGGATAGTTCGAAGGACACTAAATAGAAAGAATTACTTGATTTAAATTGATAGACTGCACTCTGAGAACTCCAATGCAATAAGTTTCACTGTCATAAGTTCATTATTAGTGAATAAAAACAAAGCTGAAGTTTCATTATCAAATTATGCACTGAAATGTCCGTGTGTGACATAAGAAATTTTGAAACTTTTTTTTCATAGTTTCACAACATTGGCTTGACGAAATTTGATAAAACTTCGTATGCCAAGTTTATGGCAAGAACAGATGACAATGTACACTGTCATTCTTCATGAAAAGCAACACGTGAGCGCGTGGCTTGTGCTTTGCTGTGGCTGCCTAAAAGACCATCATCAACTAACGACAAAAGAAACGACGTTGGCATTTGGCATCATCTATTGGCAAACAAAAGAACGAGTTAATGCCACTAGACAAGCGCAGCAAGGTACTGTAGGCAGCCATTGTAGAGAGCTGGTCACGCGAACGCGTGTTCCCTTTCATAAAGGACGAAAGTGTACTTCAATTTTACCAATTAGAAGCTACGTAGGACCTCATAGACACCTTCCAAACCTATGACGCCACGGCGTTTGGTGCGGAAATCTTAAATTTGGAGTGTCCACTCACATTTTTTTACGCGCCTTTTCTCGCTTACTGTCGTGTCACATTAAAAGTGCTGCTTTCAAGATTGTGGGATTGTTCTTTACTAATACGTGAAAAATTGTTTTGCTCTTTAGTCTCCCTTTAAGGATATGCATGGTAGAAGGCATTTTTAGTCAGAGCCCCGACATTACCTTGAAAGGACTTTCATGCACATTTAAAGCCCTATTAGCATTAGTTTTCAAGGCGTTTATGTGTGCAAAAAAAAAAAGGCAACTTCCTGTTAAATATAACCACTAGAACCTTGTGCTCTTTTTTGACTCGTATTAGAATGAGGCCTGGATATAAGCCTCTTTTCTGATACAACACTTTCTTAAGCAGAGAAATAAAAGCAAATGTAATAAAGCAGAAGCTATTATGCAACACTATTTTGCTCAAGTATACGTGGATAAATGTCATACAATGCAAAAAGTTTCAAGAAGCTTACCACTTTCCCATCAGGATACAGGTCTTTTTGGTCCCCGTTCTGAAACTTATAGACGATGACTTGCGTAAATGGATCAATCTCTTTGGACACAACAGTGAGCAACATTTTGTGACCGTTGGAATCGAGAGCCCACGTGCGGCTGCTGTCCTTGTCAAGGTCTCGCATAAGGCTGGGCGACTGAATCTGAGCAGACTGGGACTTGCGTGCTCTCGTCATCTTGCACAAGTCTCTGGTATCTTCGCTTGCAGTGTATGCTGGCGAACATTTATTTCCTAGCAAGCTAACTTTCTTGTCTGAGGAGAGGCGTAATGCCGATGTTAATATAACTGGCCGTTCCCAAAGATTTGCACCCTGTGGTGCTTGCCGGTCTTGCAGAAAACACTGCGACATTGCTTTTGGAGCTTGCAATAAGCACTGTTCACCTAGCTTCTCAACAAATTCTTGAAGGCTGCTTCCAGCTTTCTCTGCATTTTGGTTCTCATTATGAACAACACTGCCTTGCGTGATTTGGCTCTCAGTTTCGTGTTTTTTAACAGAATCGCCAATTTCAACCTCCAAACATTTCGCGTCCTTTGCAGACTGAGTATCACATACAAGTAAACTTTGTTCAGGCTCCTCATAAGACTCCCATTCTGAATGATCCCCATCTTTTGGAATATTAATTTCACTGCCCATGCGTCCACAGCATTGAGAATCTTTAACTAGTTTCCAATACGCTTGGTCAGTTGTTTCAATGACTTTCTCCTCGTTGTGGGATGACTTTCCTTGTTTGTAACCACACCCTGGGCCCTCAATGTCAGCACTGACACATCTGTTTTGCCCTTCACTTTTCCCACCAAAACCAGAGACTGAAGTGGTGCCTTTTTGTCTCTCTTTACCTGAACTAGGTCCATCAGAATGCAGAACATCTGCTGAGGGCCTTCCGAATGATGTGCTTGTCAGTATTTCTTTGGTGACCAATCCCACTTTTGTCACCTTTGATATGCACTCTGGAAGGTGGTCATTTTTTATAGTCCCTTCTCTTGAGTGTGCCCCCTGTAACTTCTGGACTGAGTTGATTTCTCTATAACTAATGCAAACATCTGTCAATCCTTGCTCAACAGACTGATCTGAGGGACCTTGCACATGCTCACTTTGATAGTCCACTGCAGCAGTTGCACCAGTACTGTCCATTACACTGCTAGCACTCCGACTTGTATGTACATCTGCAGCAAACCTCACTGTTTTGGAGGACTGGCTCCGAGAGAGCTTCTGAGTGCTGTCAGAGCTGCCGTCAAGGGAGAGGCGTGTGACGACAGAAGCCGAAATGACACTTGGTGGCTCAGATGCGGGTGTCACATCCGATTCCACTAGGCTACCAATGTCAAGCACAGTTTCCTTGCAGTTTTTCGGCTCCATACATACGCTGTCTCCCTGCGCACTTTCCAATGCCAACTGCGCAGAGCCAGATGCAGGTATGAACATGGGCATGACAAAGTGCGAAGCTGGCGACAGTTCGTTTAGGCTTGGATAGCACTTTAGCTCAGACATTTTTTCCAGCAGAGCTATTCTTTGCTCCTCTAGTTCCTTCACCATGGCCTTCAAGGAATCTTTCTCTTGGTCAGCAAGTTGCAACTTGTGTTTCAGGCGCCCATTCTCACTCGTCAATATATTCACTTTTCGCTGGATCTGGCTCTGTGCTTCTCTATCCTGAAAATGAAGATGCAAGTTGAGCACATAATCTCATTTCTTGGAGTCTGCTTATACCTTGTCTTTAGAACCTGAAGCAGACTGTTTCGCTTCTACCTTGGTGACTGTGTTGAGAGTTTGCCGGTGCCGCTGTCTCCTGTCAATGAAACAAAAACTTGTTTTACTATTGCTCAAGCAATTCACTACTATTCTGTCTTGACAAGAATGATTGCAAAAAAAATCTCACCTAATTTTTTTCTTTTCTTCTTCAATCTCACTTCTCAGCTTGGCAGTTTCTTTTTCCTTGTGTGCCTCAAATTCATCTTTCTCCTTCTGAAGCTTGCTCAACATCTACACCAATGGTAAAATTAATGCAGAATGGGGAGTGAGGTTCAAGCTATTTCAGTTTACTTACACAAGCAAGACATGCGAATGATTATCATCATTACAATTCATTCTAGCATAGAACACACTTTATATAAGATGACACATAGAACCAGAGCTAAGACAAGACAGGTATTGGCAGTACTAATGAGTTCGATGTACTGTTTCCTTAACTTGAGGGTATCAATAGAATGCTTTTAAAATATTACCAACTAGCACTGATTAATAAAAACAGCATACCAAATTTACTCGTGTAATGAACGCACTCATGTATTAAACACACCCCTAACTTCAGTTCTCAAAATTTGATCCCCCCCCCCCCGTAATAAATGCACCCTCTATATCCATTCGCTCCAGTCTCGCTAACCGACACCTCCTTGTCCGTCGGATCTCTTTAGTTTTTTTATTGTTATGCCGACCCCACTCAGCCACCTAAGGTCACTCTCTCGCCCTCTTTGCCTGCTGCCACGTATCGTATTGTTTTAGGGGTCAAGCTCCTCTTAGTCTATCCTAGTCTACCGGCCAGATGGACAAACAGACAGACGGATGGACAGACTAGCAGACAGACAGACTAACAGACAGACAGACACACGGATAGACACACACATATGGACGGACAGACGGACGGACGGATGCTTCGTCCCACTCACCAGCATTCACTTCGTGGTTATGCTGTGATTTTTTTTCTATTTTTGCACGGCAAGTCCCCAGTCTTTTTTATCTGTGCGCCACAGCGGGGTTCACGAACGGTATGAGTGTAGAGACATCACAACTGATAAGCACACAGCGAGCAAAGGTTACAAAACTGCCCGCGCCAACCGACGGTCACTTATTGCAAATATGAAACTTTATCGCCCAACCACAGAGCGACAACAACAGCATTTGCTGTTGCGAAGGGCCAGTCATCGCTATCGCGTTGCAGGTTTCTGGAATGAATGAATAGACTTTATTTAAAGTCCGGCAGTTTTACCGGGCGAGGTGGGGGAAGAAGGGTTTATGTCCCTTCCCACTCTCCGTTGATTATGATGGCGGTACCTCAGATGACCGCTCGAAGTCTTTGCACCCGGGCGACATCTTCAGCTTGCCGGACGGCCCAAAGCTGGTTGACCAGCTCGTCGCTCATGAGGGCCGCCTCCCAGCGGCAGCGCAGCTGACGCTGCCGATTGGCAACAGTGACCGCAGCCGCAGCAAAGGCCGGCCCCTACCCTCGCGCGGTGGTGGCAGCAGCTATTGGCCTCGAATTTCGTGCCTGCCTAACATGCCTCGCGAAGGGAGCGGTGGTAGTGACGTTATCTTTTTCAGCACACTCCCAAAGCATGTGCTGCAGTGTGGCCCTTTCCCCACACCCTTTACACCCGTCTGTCGGGCATAGATAGGTTCCTGGGAAACCAGAAAAATCGCTTGTTGCCCAGAAAAGATTGTGATGATTTCCGCAACATGGTAGCACCCCCAATTCTCGCTTCAGTTGCAATTCGCTCTTCATGCTTGTTATACACGTGCATTCCGAGGTGGCCATAAAGTTTGCAAAGTGCGTCATAGCGCACGCTTTTGGGGGCCCCCTGAGATCACAGCAGATATTACTGTTGCAGTTAAACGATTGCGAGAAAAGATAGTCGCGAAATTCTTTTATGGCGTGCTTGGGCGGCGTGGGGACAGCTTGCAGGAGATAGCGCCATCAACCACCAAAGATGAGTAAAGTGCAACAAAGAAGCCGTTTCCAAACAGTGTATGTGTATGTCAATTGCGAAAGGCTAAGCAACATAGGTAACTTTTTTTTATATTACCACATTTTTACTCACCCTGAAAAAGTTTTTCGTTAAATATGCCCCGCAAAATAAATGCACCCTCAACTTTGCTTCAATTTTTCAAGACAAAAAGTGCGTTCATTATGCGAGTAAATACTGTCGCGGTACAACGCGAACAAAACACAGGTACACCATCAGACAACGAAAGCAGCATGTTCTCAACAGCTGAGCCACACGATTGTCTTCTTCGGTCTCAAGTGAAGCTAGAGGCCCACTACCGCGTGTACACTAAATCCCCCATCATTGTTTTGATCCACATGTAGACACCCGTCAATACGATATATGAAAAATAAAACTGCTCATATCATTGCAGAAGTGTCTTGTTACAAATAGCAGCAGTGAAATGACGTCACTGAAAAACTCCACAAACTTATGCTTATTAAAATAAAATGGATTGTTTGTTGTACACAACAATAAAACAGATCATTTTGTTTTAACTACTGTTTTAATAGTACATACCGCTTTTTATCCCACAAGCATTCTTTTTTTTTATTTCTAAGGCATTCTGTATAGCAGAAAAGAAAGGGCAGCTGTGTATGTATATATATGTGTGGATGCCGCTATCCATACAGAATGAAAGAATAAAAATTGCTCGAGAGGCTCGTTTTTTTGTTAAACACAATTAATGAAACCTACAGATGATTATGCCAAGCAAAGTGTAGGGGACATTATTCGCAGTTTTTTAATCTGTAGTGTAAAGATTTTCATATACACTTAGACCTTGATATAACAAGTCTAGATTAAATGAAATATCAGTTATAATAAAATAAATGAATCATAGTCTTACAACAGATACAATGATAGGAACATACCTTTGTCACAAATTTTCGGATGTAACTAACTTACTTTTGTAAGATACAACTATATTATATAATAAGGCTTGACTGTAAATTAAAAGGAATTAACGTGGATGAAAAATCACTGTTACCATCAGTGGGATTTGAACCCACAATCTTTAAATTATGCGTCCAAAGCTCTACCAGCAGAGCTCACTTTTTGTAGGTTGTGTGTTTAATTCATGGGAGTGTTACGAGTGCCACTCATAACTGCAAGAGGGCAACACTCTTTTCGCCACATGGCAATGTGACATTTGCAAAATGTGGAAGGTGAATAAACCCTCCCACGCTACCTGAGGCACTGATTCCTGCCAGGATAAAGCCCTCACAATGAAAGGCAAAACAAGGGGAATCGCAAGAAAGGCTCGTTTCTTTCTTAAATGCAACCAATAAAACTACCAGACAATTAAGTCAAGAAAATCGCATAGAACAGTATTTGTTGTTTCTTAACTGTAGTGTGATGGTTTTCAGATAAATTGAAAGGAACTAAAGTGGATGAAAGACCACTTTTTCTGCCAGTGTATTTTGGGCCCACAACCCTCGAATTACACCCAATGTTCTACTAATTGAGCTATGACAAGGGGCGCTCCCTCATCCACCTTTTGTAGGTTACATGAGTGGTGTAGAAGTGTGAACTGTTGGGCTAGTTGTTGAAACTTGTTTAGGCTTTAAAGAGCGATGTAACACATAGGGAAAAGCCGAGATCAGACAGAAAAGATGCTCAAACTATAGAGTTTCCTATAAATACACTAGAGAGAACTCTGTTGCTAGTGTCTATGGAGCTGCAATGCACGGCGCTTCAGCCACCATGGGAATGATGGGTAGTACGCAGATTTCTCTAATTTTCGTTTTTTCAGCTCCGCTTGGCTTCACATAGCCTGGAGCCGCTTTGTCATGAGACAACAATCAATAAATGTTCAGCAGTTGCCCTTCATCACCTAAAACATTTAGGCTCATCAATTCAAATTTCACAAAGGTCTTCTTTTATAAAAAACAAAACCAAAACACAGCAGTACAAAGCCACAAGTGGGTCCAAAGCCACAAGCACAAAGATTAGGCGAATTTGTGTACTGCCCATCATTCGCATTGTGGCTGAACGATCACAATGCCAGAGTCCCCTCTAGTCAATTTTAGGAAACACTGTGGCTCAACCATGACATATATCCACACTGTTTCGAATAACCCGAAAAGGATTGCAACCAAACAAGATGTGAATCTTGTTTTCATGGTCCCTTACGAGCTCTCACGACTCTGCATGCTTGTTTTTGGGCAACCAATCAGTGGCCTGTTCAAAAAGGCATGCGCATCAGTTTGTTTCCTGTGCTACACAGGTAGTATACAGAGTTGTGCTGCTTAGTAGTAAAACCAGGCGATGTCTGAAGGACAGACTTTCAAAGCACGCCCCATCCCTGAGGGGTCTGAGTAATAGCACTCACCTCTCAATGCCCTGTTGGGAGTGCGGGTACTGTGCTCTCTTTTCTGGTGCCGAGGTGATTGGGAGAGTTAAGGGCAGGCTCGAGACAGAAGATTCTAGAGACATCAATGCAACTGGGGGCATGTGCATTAGTGTGCCTTGTGTACATCTCTCAGGGAGAGAGTTAGCTTTCCTGGCGAGTTCATTAACTTGGCTGCCATTCTATTTTACTTTGTTATCCCACTTGTCTGTTCTTGTGATGCGCTTAATGTCTGTTCACATCACTGTGGTGATCGCATTACTGTTCGTGCTATGTTTCACACCTAGGGCCATTTCACTCTAAGCACCCTATCAGCGAAAAGGTAGCACCCATAGTAACAAGTAGTGAGATCAAATAGTTTCCTTTGAAGGGGAAGCTCATTATGGTCAATGCTTGTCCCGCCATCACTGCAGCCAGCCACTAGTACTTGGAGGGCTCACTAGAGGTGCAGCTGTGCTCTCGCTTCTAGTTTGAACAAAGACCCCTAAATGGCTCTGCAGCACTCGCTCTACTCTGCCGCATGCTCTATTTTGATAGCAGACCACTAGAGGGCCAGAACTATAAACCGCGCTCGCTCTTGGCACGCTTTCTCTCTGTTTCAACAGTCGTCAGTGAGTGCGCTTCGATAATATGAATAAAGTCATGGCAGTGGAAAAAAGGGCTCGCAAAGCAGCTGCAGCTCAGGCTTGCCGTCAAGCCAACCCAGAGCTTAAGGCTCGAGAAGCTGAAGCGAGAGTTCAGCGTCGTGCCGACCCAGTGATGAGAGCTTAATAAGCTGAAGCGACACGGGCTTGTCGACATGCAGACCCGGAGGGGAAAAAGGCCTGGGAAGCAGAATTTAGACGGAAGCACTTGCAAGCGGATCCTGACGCGGCGCGGCAAGCTGCTGCAAAATGCCTGAAATAGTCGCCACCTGAGGTTGGTGATGCCGATGCGCACTTTAAGCGTGAATTTCTAGAACGCAGTTTTGCAACCGCTAGTTTGCGACCGCTAGTGGTCCGATAACTATTTGACCACCATCTACAGCATCTGAAATAAGCCGTCCTATGGAAACGCCATCACCGTGCTACAGCGGGAGTTTGCCACTAGACTGTATTCGAATCAAGAATTATTGTTACTCTACTTCACTTTGTTACTCTACTGCACTTAACTGCAAAAATTCTCAGTGCACCTAATAAAACACAACAACGGCACATGCGTCATATACTAACAAGGTGAAATAGTGGTCCTTGTCAAGTACTGTTATATCACTGGTGTTACATAACGTGGAAAAATTGAGGATAACTTTTGTTGTGAGTTGGCATGCTCAATGCATTTCACAAAATGGTTACCATCTATAAGATGACATACATTTAACGGCAGCAAAATGCCTATGACAATTTGAATTTTATACATGGATATTACATAACTCCACTTAACAACAGTGCCCACCGAGTCATTCATTAATGCTCACCTGGTGGTACTGCTGTTGCTGATTCTTCAGGTGTTCATTCTGGGCCTGATAGAGTTTCATCTCGTTTTGAAGCTCCTCTATTTTCTTCGCTACTTGGCTCTGCAAATGAAAGCATACTTTCGTGAGTGTTCATCTCGAGTACTCTCACTTCGGCGATATGCCCAAGAAGCACCTACCAAGAGGTTCTCGCACGTAGACAAGCTTAGTTCCTCACTCCCAGCTGACTGCGAATTTTCTGTCGATAAACCTCGGCCGTGTTTGGCGTGTCTATAACATTCTGCGATGACATGTTCGATTGGATTGTTACACGGGAATACGCATACATTCAGGCCACTTCTCATTTCTTTACTATTAAGGTCCTGAAAGGCAAAGAAACAATTGCATGATCACAAACGAAACTTGACCAGCGGTGACCAACCTCATTGGAAGGGTCTTGCGACAGCGATTCTTCCGACTTGTCAGATAATTCATCTGAAGGCGCAGAATCTCTGTGCTTCTTAGTTCGGATACCCTGTACAAGTTTAAATATGTCACTTCTTGTCATCGTGCGTTCCGGCACTTTTCTGAAACAAGGGTAACGCTTTACTGACTGTGCGGTCTTAAGGACCTAATATCAGTCGCAGGAGTCTCAATGAATGATCGTTTTCTTACCTGCACGATTTTGATCGGCGATACATCGTAGATATCGTGCAGAGGCACAGTTAATTTTGAGAATTCGAATTCAAATGTCGCCCTCGGCGGCGCCCTGTTGTTGCGACTGCAGCGCGCGCAGCGTGAGCTCGCGGACATGAGCCTCCACCCATCTGTCATGGCGCTCTCTATAAACATTTTCCGGTCTGTGTGACCAGCTTTACAGGATTCAAAGTTTCTCCTTCCGAAGGGGCATTTATTTCACGACACTTGACCGTTTGGGAGATTCTCCTCTTACCTCAGCAGCAATCATGTCGTCGGACACGAAAACGGTAAACGATGAATGCTTTTCGTTTTCAGAACGGTCGACTCGGAAACGCGCATTATTCCGTAAACACGTCTCTCATGTGTGTATTTGCAGTATTATAGGCATCTTTTCTCCGTCACGTTTACACGCTTTTTATGGTACTTGTTTTCCTGTTCTGTTGCGTGTGTGCGCTTTGTCGTGAAAGGCTCGCATGCGGATATTTCCCAGGCAGTATCTTTTGACGCCTCGCCTTTCCTGTTTCAGAACCGATTACCCTGACGCCTTATATTTTTTTCTTTCCTTTTTACTCCCAGTTCTCCAACCCCGAGACGCCTGGTTACGTCGGTTTTGCGAACCTTCCAAATCAAGTTCACCGGAAGTCTGTGAAGAAAGGATTCGAGTTCACTTTGATGGTTGTCGGTAAGTGCTGCTCATCGCTGCTTCGATTCGGGTCTAGATACTATGGCTTGATTTTTTGTTTTGCTTATTTTTCAGGAGAAAGTGGGCTCGGTAAATCGACGCTAGTCAACAGCCTCTTTCTAACGGATCTGTACCCTGAACGAAATCTTCCAGATGCCAGTGGTGAGCACGATTGCACAAGCCGGGCGGCATGCATTGTAGTTGGGCAGCGACTGCGGTGATGGAAACCGTCACTGTAATCGAATAATTATAGTGAGAGGAACCGTCAGTGTAGGCAAATCGTAAAAAGGAGGGGATCCGTCATAATAACGCTGCAGCCATAGACGTGCGCACAAATAAAAAGAAGGAAAGGGGAAAAAACATTGAGAGCGAATAGGTGGGCTCACCCTTCCAATAGCTCAAATTTGCACTGCCTTGTGGTCGTAAAGATTTCCGAAGAAGGAGGTCGCGCAAAAAAAAAAAGGGGGGGGGGGGGGGGGCGTGCTGAAGTGAACATTTGCTGCACCCTATTGAGAACCCTGCGCAAGTCGCTGTAGTGATGAGGCAAAAGTGAAAGGGCCCATAATGCTCCGTGTTCCTTAAATGAAACGCCTTGCACTGTAGTACCGATAAGTATGGCAATATTAAATGCCCATGGTGTCGGCACCCATACTGATGGGGCTCCATCATAGCAGTGGTGTTCCTGCTGTTACTATACTGATTCGAACAGCTTTTATATTTTGTTCATTGTTGCCCGAGACAACGACATTCAAGCTTGCTATGGCTCTCCTTTCCACGTGGTACGATATCACCAGAGTGCAAGAAGCAGTCATTGTCACGGATTCATTGCAATAACTCTATCGCACCTTGCAGCCCCCCCCCCCCCCCCCCCCCCCCCCCGAGTACACAGATCTGTCAGATTGGTGGGCATTCGCTATGCAGCCAAACCACAGGGCGTGCCTGTGTATTCAGGCTGGGTGATTTACACCCCTGTAACATGGTAAATACAATGTCACATTGAATGTCATTCGTTTGTAATGTTATTTGTTTGTTGTCACACAGCGAAACTAGTGCCGTTTGATGAAAATTACATTTTATTTTGAGTGAGTTCCCAAAACATTCCCTTTTGGATTTTAGACAGAATCAGTAGTGTCAATGCGAGGGACTTTTAGAGAGATGACTGTTAACTTATCTTTATGTAACTTTTATAGTTTGTATATATCTTATTCTTTACTAGATCAACTTATTACTGGCTTGGTGACATAATAGTTCACGCAAAAGTTTCTTTAAAAAAAGGCTACTTTCAGCTACAGCGGCGGCCACATTTCATTTTTGTTCTGTTATCGTTTCTTGTATCCCAGATGTTGGTCGTCCGTTTGCTCACGCAGTGGTGAACAAGGTGGTGACTACACAAAATCGCTGCCGCTGTCTCATTTATGAAGCCGGGAAGTCAGTAATGTGCCCCTCTTCAGTTTACTGCACTCACGCCCAGTCATATCGTCGGCCATGTTGGTTTTTGAGTGTGTCTTGCAGCTGTGGCAAGTTTTGTTTAACGGCCGTGTTTATACGCATATTACACGCATATTACAAGTTTTAGTATGTATATTTCTCCCTAAATCCACGGCTCAGGAGGGCTAAGATCATGTTCATAATTTCAAAATGGCACTTGCTTTGCTTGTATGACAGCACGCAGGTAAAAGGACATCAAGTCTGCTAAGTGTCATTCATTGTAAATGGCATTAGATTTGCCATGTGACAGGATGCATTCACATTTAAAGGACACGAGGATGATATGGAACACACCTCAACTTTTCACAAAAGTGACCGTCTCTGGATTAGAAAATGCTTACAGAGAGCACGCCATAGCACAAGTGTGAATTTCATCATGGGCAGTTCACACATCTCATGGCATCTGTATTGAAAAGGCACACATGGACGGGATGGAAAAAATGTGGCTACCCTGTTATTATTGGAGCTGAATTGATTACTTGATGTACGTGACCAAATTAGAGGGAAAAGACGTGCCACAGTGAAAGGCTGATGCGGAAATGTGGTGGCTGCACTGACTTAATGTGGCAGTATGTGCATGATATACTGCGTGCTTCTCGTGGTGGTGAAAGTTTTTTTTTCTACCATATTGCTGGAAGGAAGCTCTGGGTGGCTGAAGATTTTTTTTTTTTAATTGTGGTGGTGGGGCCCTTCGTCCAGGGCTCTGATTATGCATTAGCTTGCTGCACCATCAAAGCCATATTTCAAGTGTGTCTTATCACTATAGCTTGTCACAGACAATAACTTGTCTCATCACTATAGTGCAACTGTTATTGTTGTGGGACCCTTCACTGAAGCCAGCCATGTGTAGAAAATTGCTGCTGTCTGGTTCATAGACAGCCGACTGCACACATTGTAGAAATACCACTGCCCTTTCTTGTGCCATCTTTTTTATATAGCGAAAGTGAAGCAAACTGTGAGTCTCGATGCATCAACTGTTGAAATCGAAGAGCGCGGAGTAAAGTTACGGCTCACAGTAGTAGACACACCTGGTTTCGGAGATGCCATCGACAACACGGACTGGTGAGCATAGTTTAACTTTTTACAAAAGTAGTGCATATTCAAAGCTTTTTCATCAGAATATCGGTATTCCTCTGGTTCTCATTCTAGCTTCAAGTCCATCATCCAATACATCGAAGACCAGTTTGAAAGATTCTTGTGTGACGAGAGTGGACTCAACAGGCGTAACATTACGGACAATCGTGTCCACTGTTGTTTCTATTTCATTTCGCCTTTTGGCCATGGTCTCAAGCCACTGGACATCCAGTTCATGAAGATGCTTCACAACAAGGTCAACATAGTTCCTGTAATTGCCAAAGCAGATGCCTTGACAAAGAAAGAAGTGATGAATCTCAAGAGGCGGGTCAGTATGCTTGTATCATATAATCCTAATGAGCTGCAGACCACCATGTCACAGTACTAGTACACCTTCAGTTCACTGCAGGCACCACAATGTGTGAGAAGCCAAACCTACCTGTATGAGTTCCTCATAAATGTAAAACCAATCTTGAAAGCAAGCTTCGAGGTTTTGCAACTACCTAAGCAAACAGCATAGCAGGACACCTAGTGTCATTGTACTCGTCTTCTATTTTTACTAACAACAATGCTCCATTCTTTGAGTGTTCAGCCTTTCTTTGAAAGATATTTGTTTCAGCAAATGGCATTGTTGTTCTATTAGAGCAACATCAAAAGTGTCATTTGGTGAAGCTCCTGACTCGTACATCTCCGACATCTTGATGCCTAAAAATCAAGTCATAGTGGGCAATGACCGTTAGGTTAAAAACTGTACCTATGACAGTGCAATAGTAGTGTTCTAAATATTACCTGAACTGTTAAAAGAGCCATTAGTGCTGTTAGTAAAATCTACACGCGTTTGTCAAAGGTTGTCCAGTGATTTGCAATACCATACCTACCTAGGTCATTCTTAATTGGCAGAAAGGACTGATGGTGATAAAGACTTGCCACACCAAATTTCATTGACCCTTGTTACAAAAGTGTGAAATATGCACTTGTGATGTCACATCAACATTCTCTAATCATACTTGGAGATATTGGTGTGAAATTTTAAATTGACACTTTGGCCTTCACTTTCTCTTCTCTTTAGGAACCTTTGATGATAAAATTAGAGAAAGCAAAGTTTTGAAGGTGCATTTAAAAGTGTAACTTGATTCATTGTTTCACATGAGAGTCACTTTAATATTGCAAACTGTTCTGGTTGGCACATCTTTTCTTGAAAATTGTGCATTGCTCTCAGAAACTGGGCTAAACTAAAGAACTAAAGGTACTGGGGCAGCATTAGTCCTAATTATTTTGTCTTTTAGCCTTTGTTTCTGTGAATGCTGCACATTTTCAAGGTTCATACATAGTGCCATGTATTATGAAAAAAGCAGTGTACTCAGGTGTCAGTGACAGTCTTGCTGCTTCGCTTGCGTGAAACACAAGCCATGTTGAGGTAAGCTCCAACACAGACGTGTGTCCTGCTGGGGTAATCCATGTTCCAATCAATGTAATGCAGGTAAAGCTCTTCCTCTTCTAGGGTTTGGTGCACTAGTCAGCGGTTATCTCGTGCAGGAGGTTCATGGGGACATAGTAATTCCAAACAGCTCAGAAACAGGACACCAATAAGACCACACAATGCAATAACAGTGTCCCATTTCTGTGCTGCGTGGAATAACTATGTGGATGTACCGACAAGCCCCTTTAAAGGGATGCTGAACATGAATTGTGAAAACTTAGGAAAACATCAATATTCGGCTCGGAAGACTCGACTCTTTCATTGAACAGAGCTTATTTTGCGGTACTTCAAAAAAACTAATTTTAGCACAAACACGCATAGCGCATTTGATGTATGGGTATGTGCATGAATGTGTCGTTTGGGCTGAAATTAGTTTTTTCAAATCTTCCACCGACTAGCCCAACAAGTTCTTTTACAATTTATTTCGCGTATTCTTGAACAGTTTGCAGAGTGGATTGTCAGCGCATGGCCGCTGCACACGAATGTGAGCCGTGACATCACAATTGCAAAGGCACATGCAGGATGTGCATGTTCCTGTCCTCCTTTCATCCCTCTTCCACAAAAGCACATTTTTCACCGTTCTGTTGTGGTTCTGGAAACCATAGTGGTAGCAGAGCCAAGAGAAGGCTGGCATTGTTGGCATGCCCGTTTCCAGCAAGTGTAATGTCACTTGCTCTATTTCACGGTGCGGCTGCTAGATGCAGCAGTTTGAGCATTAAATTCATTATTTTTTTTCTAGTTTTTGCCTGAAAAGGAGGGTGTATTTATCGATTGCATCGCTTAACCTCTCAAGTTAGCTGATAATCTTGCGACAAAAAATTTGTCCAGTATTCTTTTAACCATAATTTTGAAGTCTGAGGGGACAGTTACACAGCTCGGTCCCGCGGACCCTCATCCCATGGTGGGTGGAATGTTGACAGTGCCGCATTTGTGATATATAGAGTGTGCTGTGTTGGCATTCTATTACGTTATTTTATCACGTTTACATTGGTTGTTTATAGGATTCGGTTAGGGGGCTCACAGTTGTGTGAAAGCTGCTGATAAGTGTCCATATAACTGGGATGTTGCAATCTAGGTTGCATTGATTTGTTCCATGTGCCGCATGGGAATACAATCCAGTTACATGGCCCACATTTTATGTCTGAAGGTTGTGGGTGTGCTAACACCTCCTGTAAAGTTGTTTGCACTTCGGGACGTGCATGTTTCTCGCATAGGCCGCAGTTAGGATTAGCAAGGTTACCACAAGATTAAAGAAGCAGTTGTTTGAACTTGATTGAATTCAATACTCGGTTTTCAAATGTTTCATGTGTAAATGTTTGATTTTGTGTGTGTTTAGATAATGCACGAGATTCATGAAAATGGCATTCGGCTGTACCCTCTTCCGGACTGTGATTCTGATGAAGATGAAGAATACAAAGAACAAGTCAAACAACTCAAGGTAGTTCATTTGCCTTCTACTGGTACCTGCAATGTCCCCTGGATTTTCCGGGAGACTCCTGTGTTTCGATCATTTCTTGATTGATTGATTGATTGATTGATTTGTGGGGTTTAACGTCCCAAAACCACCATTTGATTATGAGAGACGCCGTAGTGGAGGGCTCCGGAAATTTTGACCACCTGGGGTTCTTTAACGTGCACCCAAATCTGAGCACACGGGCCTACGACATTTCCGCCTCCATCAGAAATGCAGCCGCCGCAGCCGGGATGTGAACCCGCGACCTGCGGGTCAGCAGCCGAGTACCTTAGCCACTAGACCACCGCGGCGGGGTTCGATCATTTCTTATGTTCTTACAGTTGACAGTAAGATCAAAAAATTCACATTTTAGTGCGTGATCGGCCTAATTGACAAAAGTCCAACCCTATCCAATTCTGGCTTTTCGCAAATTCATCTAACTATAATGTGAACCAATTTATGAAGCGTTAACCTAAACGTGCAGTAGAATTTCAGTGATCTAAAACTGGCTGATGCGAATTTGCAAAATTCTTCAGCTATATTACACCCTCTTCAATGGGCTAAAATACGCATGTTTTGAACACTTTTTCATGTTGCTGCAGGCAGTATAAACTTTAGTAAAAAATCCAGGGTAGGGGTCAGTCGGTTGTACACTGTGTACTTGTTTATACTTTGATACCACACCGTCGAGTGATGGTTGAGAGCAGCATGGTAGAAGCTTCAAAGTTTGTGCGCGACCAATGTTCGCACTGGCACAACATTGTTTATTGTTTACCTAAATCACTGTGGATGAGTCAATCTTAACACCAACATCTATGGCGACAACGCAACTGCACATCCAATGCTAACCCAAGTCACAGAACTGTGACTGATGCTATCATAGGTAGCAGCAAATGACTTGGTTGTGAAGGCAAGTGTGTGGCCAGTGCATGCTGATCGAAAAAAACTGCTGTTTGCTGCAACCGCCAAGCGCAAAACTGCGGTCGCTGCGACCTGATCATCAATAGCAACTTGAGCACTGTAAGTGTACATGGCTAGTGCAGCAGTAGTTTAAAAACTATAAAGTTGTAAAATAGGCATGATGCATTTGGGCGTTGCTGCCGATCTTTGTTTGCTTTATGACTACGGTGGAGTGGACTATGGCGCTTAGCTTTCGTTTGGCCTCAAGTGAAGCTTTGATGCGCACTTTCACTGCAGCCAGCTGCGCCATCCCTTATTGGTTCATTCACGTATGTCGCAGGAAGACATACGAGAGTTATTTTGATGGAAACAAATGTTTTGTGTGAATTTGGTGGTCTGAAAACCGAATTCGCCAGGGTGTTTTTTTTTTTTAATAAAATATCAAGCATTACAAACATTTCTGCTCTCGCTTGAGATTCTACTGTATTTGTAAAACCCTACCTAAGTCATTATAAGGCCGATGTATGCGCTTACGGGGCTGTACGAGACCTCCTCCCCACCCCATTTTGTCGAGATGTTTTCTTGTATGTGAAGAAAAAAGGGGGAAGTATATCGGTGTGCCTGACCCCCCTTCCCTTTGTTTCTCTTAAATTCGGGCTCCATAAACTTGGAAGGTATGCCTACTATACCTTGTGTTTATGTTATCTCATTTCTGCCGTTGTCGTCCTCTCCAGCCATGCCCGGGTGCCTGTGCACTATGTTGAAAGAGAAGCAGTGCGGTTTTTGTGTTGTCGTACTTCGACGAGCTCAACGCATCAGGAACGCCTTGCTTGTTCACACGATACAAGACCAGAATATCAAGATGTGTGACACGTCGACCTCTACCTAATGTCCATCAGCAGCGATGCCACAGCGTATTTCAGCTGCCCGCCTTGACCCACGACAGCACATTATCTCGCTTTCACTACAAATTGGGCAGCCCAAAAATAAGTGAAAGCTAAAGTCTCTTGAACCGCAATTTTTTAAGTGAATGGGCGAAGCGAAGCAGCTTCTATCAAAAATGAATCATCATGCAGAGATAGGAAGTTTGTAGGAGATATAATATAGATAATAATTTTAATATATTATTGCGGCCCATGCCACCAAAGTAGCTCATGCAGTGCAGCTCTCCAAGTGTTTTAAAACAGTGCTGATATTGAGGCTCTTTGATGGGAATTTGTGGAAACTGCCGAGGGAAAAAAATTTGCGAGCTAGACTTCGTGTGGTGCGTACCACAGTAATGCTGGTCACTTTTCTTTTTTTGCATATGTTTTCGGCAATTTTTATACCTTGTATTTCACTTTCGTTGAGTGCTAATGTACAGTGGAGTACCTAATAATAATGGAAACTGTATCAGGGAATCAATCAAAGAATGTTCAAAAAAAATCTGACCCCCCAACTTGATTCGATCGAATGTTAACCTTCTGAGAACTTATTCGTGCTATGCTTCAAACCGCGAGTGAATGAAGAATGTTTCCCGTCCATTTTCACAGTTTATTTCAGTGCAATATTCGAATTCCCGCTATCGTCATCACGATTTCAACCACCTTCCTGACACGCTGATTGTGCACATAGTGGTTGCGGACAAGTTTGTATGTGGAGTAATCATGCTAAGCTATCTCTGTTTGCAGGTACGTCCTTGGATATAGCACTTACCCGCAATGAAGTTGCATGAAGACGCAAATGTCATCGAGGTTTTTCAACTCATTTTTGTTAATCCGTGCCAGTCAAACACGCTGGTGGAAGATTGCTGTGTGCGTTCCCAATTTTATGTAATAACTTTCGACAAAGAGAACATCCGAATTCTCAGCTCCCTCTTTGTGGGCTGCTAAATTAACTTGCCTCACCCACAGCTAATGATTGCTCCATCTTGCATCGTGAAGCAAAACTGAATGGGCGCATGCACGAGGAAATAACACAGCGATCGGCGACAAAGAGACCCGGGCATGTCGGTGGCGCATTCTGGAAAGTGACGCACATGCTCACTATGTATATATAGTATGACGTCCACTAATGTTCCAAATTCATTCTGAACAAATTATGTTTGCAATGGCTGGAATACTTCTTTAAGAAGAGAATACACATTCACTACACTCGGCTAGTGCGCAGTGAGCATTGTTTGTCTCTGTTAGAATGTGCTTTATGTTGACGCCCGCTGTGCGACAAGTAGTCATCTTGCGGATTCTTTTATCCAACAAACGAATCACCCTTGCTGTTTTAATTGAACTCCTTTGATGCCTGACGCACGAGCGATGCTCACAATCGTCATCATGTGATAACATTACACTCGCCAAAATTCGTGATACCATCATCACAGGACGTTGCTGTTTGGTCTAAGGTGGGCCGATCCCGTAAGCAGTGCAAAACCACGCGAAATGCATCTACACAATCAACCGAGATGAAGAAGGGAAAGATTATTTTTGCTTGTGAGAATAGAGGCAAGCATCGGTGATTATCTTGGAATGATAAATGCCAAATCTGTAAATAGCTAATGTCCTATACTTGTAAGTCAAATTTTGATTGCTGATGGCTGTGCTGCTTGTCACTGTTCTCACTTGCTTTGCTGGGCATATATTTGACCTGAGCGGAGTACTCAGTAAGAAGATTTTATCACCTACAATCGTTCTTTCAATAGATTTAGTTCTATTTCAGGACTGAACTACTGTATAGTGTACATTTTGTTTGGTATGGCAGAGACGTTGGTCTTTTACACTTCATTGTACAAGTCTGAAAGACAACAATTACTGGAAGATGTTGTGAATTGTAATTGAGTGATAGGACTTGGCTTGTTTCAGACGATGCGTGCGGTCGGCGGCTGTTAATTGGTTAATCTCGATTTTAAAAAGGTGCTGACAATGAATCAAAACTAATATATTGCCACTAATGTGTGGCTCTGAAGTTCACAAGCATCTAACTGATGCCTGAATAATTGTTCAGTGCACTATATTTTCCTTGAAATTTTGGTCATTCTTATGTGATGTCTATGAAGTTGGTGGTAGTGCCATATCTGAGATATTAGCCGGCTGGCAGTGCTAACAGTATTTCAAATAAGTGCAGTAGTAGTTTTGCACGTTTCTGCAGTCATCATCCCATGGCCTGTATTGCTAAAGGGATCCTGTAATGCTTTTTGAATGCAGTAAAAAAATGTTAATTAGTAGTTGAGGTTCCTGCAAACATGTAAGCGAAATATTAAAGTGCCAGCACGCAGCAGAGAATTAACTAATAAATTTCAAAATCGGCTAGAAATTGCTTTCTTTTCTCTTGACAGCTGGTGCCATACACCCTAAATAATCTGTGTGTCAAAAATGCGTCCATGGCCTGATTTCGTCATCCAGAGTATTGTGCTTTCCTTCATCTGCCTTGACGTGCCCCGGCTGCAGCACGTTGCGGTGTTAAGTGAACCGCACTCAACATTTCACCCTGGTCCTTGCGACGTTCATGCATTGTGTGCGTTCAATGACAACAATGTGCTTTATTAAGTTCATAACACACGCTCGTGTAAGCGCACCTTCTTGCCCTTGTCCAACTGTTAAATTGTATGTCCAAATATTTCCTAGCCTTCCTTTATTAGTGTACAGAATTAAGCTGTAACACAAGATTGGAACTCTTTGTTGCTCACACCAATTAGCACTTCCTCTTTCTCTGCTTTCAGGAGTCCGTGCCTTTTGCAGTCAGTTCCTCTGTACAGTTGATAGAAGTTAAAGGCCGAAAAGTCCGAGGACGCCTTTACCCATGGGGCGTTGTAGAGGTGGAGAACCCTGAACATGGAGATTTCATAAAGCTCAGGACCATGCTTATGTGCGTTGAAACACAGTTTTTAGCTGCATGTCCTGTGCAATCCAAGTTTTTCATGAATTGCTCATCTGTTATAATGCTGTGCTGCATGGTGTTAAAGTTACGCTTTTCAGGTGTCACACGAAATATTGTATGCATAGTCTGTAGTTATCATTGTTTGCAGATGCTATGAAGTGTAGCTCTTTTCCATGAGTGCTTTGAATAAGACTGTGGTAATCCAACAGTGCCTTGCTGCACCCTCTCAAGTGGAGCTTGTACAGATTACACCTCAGTTTATCATTTCACCTGCCTGCATAATAGTGGAGCAATTTTCAGTGTAAAATATCTTTGTTCTAGTACCAACAAACTTTGTGCGATAGGTGCAGAAACCATTCCTTGTTAATGTTTGAGCTGATGCCCTTTTTCTCGTGATTTTATCAGTGTAATCAAAGTTTTGGCATCATAGCATATATATATATATATGCGACGTCTGTTATCATTGAAGGGTTTGGTGTATTGTTTTTATTCTGCAGAGCACAATCTTGCAGAAATACAAAGGGAAGTGATCTTTATGTTTTAATGAAAATCTTTATCATAATAACGCAATGTGGTAGTATAGCGCAACGTAACAACCTGCAACGACCGCAAGGTGTCGCACCGCGGAGCAAGGCCGCCTGCTCGTGGGCTGTACACAGACATGGCCGCGGCTTTACATATATTAGTTCGCATGTAACCCTTAGTAAAGTAGGTTTCACTGCTTTAAAAGAGTGCTAAGCCATGAATGCACCTGTTCAGAGGAAATCCACACTGCCGCAAAGCCTCACTTCATAGTTAAACATGGTTAAATGAATTTATTGCCCTCAAATCATCAGTTTAAAATCTTGTTATTCTGGTTTATGTACTTTAGGTATAGTAAAATTTAAAACTTAAACATATTTTACAGGCTGTCACTTGCAGCCTACCGAAAGTCCTGCTACTATTTCACTTCCTTTGAGCCAAAAAGAATGGCATTTCCACAGGCCTTACTTTAATTAAAAAAATATATATATGTTGTGCAAGTTAGTAGTGTCTTGACCGATATGCCTATTTTTCTTTTTATTAACGCTATAGTGTTAAAGAGCTTGTTTTGCAGAAATTCCGGTGTTGGCATCAGTTTTGTTGGTTGCGAGCGAAAAAAAAAGTCATCTTATGCCTAACTGAGAAATCGAGAGCGATGCAAGTGAAATAAATGATGAAAAAATTTTAGGTCAGAATGGGGACAGAACCAGGGTCATTCGGGTCCGAGTGGGGATTCAACCTGGGCAGTTTACATGGCAAGCAGATGTTCTACCACATGTTCTACCACATTACAATGAAAAAAACTTCATCTGCTTGGAAATTCAGTGAAACTAGCTTTCATGTTTTACAAATGCATGCGTCCTGTATACATGCTTCACAATGCAGCATCAAATATTCAGTAATAATGCCTGGTACAAGTGCCCATTGCTAGCGGGCGTCATGACATGTGATTATCATAATGGCTTCGTAGTTTAAAGCTGGTCATCCACTACAAAAGGCGCACACGCTACTGCGCCTATTCTCTTGAGGCCACATAATGGGTGCATAGCAAGTTAAAAAAAAGTTTCATGCAACAAGTGTTTGCAGTACGCACTGGTAACAAGATATTGCGTTCAACTCCTAAAGGCAGAGCTTTAGGATCACGTGATTTTTATGTGATATATATACTGTTCGAATACGATACGACGTTATTCTACCAAAATCGCTATTTCCTTCGAACCTAAAATTCGTTATTTGCACAAGCGCGCTGATAATATCACGTATACTTGACTAAACTAGGCAGATTGCTTTCCGCTCAGTCCAACACACGGGCAACATGAAAAACCATTGCATGCTATGAAAACAACATGTGCGGTTCAAGATAGCATGATAGCAAGACTACAGTCCCAAGTTGCAGCACCTCTGTGTATGGGGGCCACATTTTCTATTTTGTGGCATTATGAAATGTCAAATTAAATATTGAGCAGGATTGATTGTGGCATTGCAAATTTTAGACACTGCTATACAATGGCCAAAAAAATGCCTTATACGCTGACTTCATCACAGAACATCTTGGTAATTTTACAGCACTGACAGTGGTACTGCTGGTAGCCATGAGCAGCTTCAAAAAACATAACTTGTTTAAAACTTGTTGCAGTAATGCCGTTTCAAAAAGCAAAAGACCCCTTTCATTTGTGGTAAATGTGCCTGTTTATATTACTCTTACTGGTAATTTGTTCCGTTTTTTTCTAGTTCAAAACAGTGTCCTTCAATTCGAATGCATGAAAAGTGAGCTCTGTAACATCTATGAAGAGTGTCTTGTTTATTGATATTGCTTGGCAAGATTCTTTTTGTGAATGAGTGTGATATCTTGCTAGATTAGCAAGAGCTTGCAGTGTTTGCTGCTACTGCCTCTGCAGCTACTCATATGCTTGTTGCTTGACAAGTGACAATAACAGAGACACCGAATATGGAACTATCCTTGCAAGCACCAGATTGAGTCTGGTGGTGCTAATATCCATGTTGCTGCTGGCATCGTTATGCAACTGTAAACAACTGGTTATAAAAAACATGTGCAGCTGTTTACCATAAGTGTATGCATGCATTTGTACATATTTTTATCACCACTTTGTAACGTCTAGCTTAATAAAAAAAAACTGCAACACAGTCCCCTTATATCCGCATGTTTTGCATAACATATATTCCCAAGGTACGTGGGATCTGCGGAATTTTCGTTACTATATTTTCTCTTGCGCTTCCAGAACCCACATGCAAGACTTGCAGGAAGTGACACAGGAGTTACACTACGAGAACTATCGCTCCGAGCGCTTGGCTGGCAAGGCTCCTCCAGCAACAACGAAGAAGCCCACAGTGTATGTACTTACTATGGTCACTGTTTACTGGGGAGCTGTTCTCGCGGGGTCCAATTGGTGGACATGTCCGATTCGGCCTCCACTGATTGGCTGGAGCTGGTGAGCAGCGCACCTCCTGTTTCCGGTCTTTTTTCCGCAACGTCATTTCGACCCCACGCAGCTTTCTCAACTCTTGACACAAATGAGAAAGATGGAATGCGTTTCACCACAATGAATGCTGGCCCCAAAGATCCACTTTTGAGCACACATCTCCGAGGCCATCCATGCACGCTAATCCTGTGAAAATTTGAATCAGGTTTAATGCGGTTGCCCGCCTGACGCCCCTAGAACGTCATCACATATTCCCTACATCGCTCTTTGAACATCTCAGCCCTTTCAGACTTGTCAAGTTTATTTAAGAGTCCTGTTGCTGTACATTTTGTCCACTTATTTATTGATTTTTTACGCTGGGAATGGCTGGCTGGTTTGGTGCGTTGACGTGGTCAAGCGCAACATGACGTCGCAACGCTCCATTTGGGTAACTGTATGTGCTCCAGTGAATTGGACATGTCGACGAATTGGACACCACAAGAATAGCTCCCTTGGTGTCAAGCTGCTGGACTGAGGACTATGTCACACTTGAGCGGAAAAATGCTGCACAGGTTTTTTTTTTTATTTTTAAGTTTTTACGATTGTATTATGGAGTAGCATAGAAGTCTGTTCCATCTGTTTTTGCACAGGCTTGCATCTGAGGAGAAGCTTTCGGAGAAGGACAGGATTCTGCAGGAGAAAGAAGCTGAGCTGAAGAGAATGCAGGAAATGCTAAAAAAGATGCAGGAACAAATGCAGCAAGGAACAACCAATGGCACAGAGCACCAGACTAAAGTTTAGCTGGCGCCACTCTTGCAGCATTTTTATACGCTCTCACATGTTCTGACTGCCTTTTTTTTTTCTACCAGATTCTCTTCATCTGCCAACTGCGAGGACTACATGTGCCCCTTTGCAGAGAAAAAGCTTCTCAGTCTGTTCTACACATGAGTGCCTTGTTCTTATAGATTACCAACCAGGAAGTACCAGCATATGTACTATTTTGTACTATTTTTGATTTTTTTATGAAACTTTTAAGACTGATGTACTCCAATTGCTTTACAGGAAAGACTTTTGTATGAATAAATAGGTGTTTATAACACTTGCATTGCAGCTTCTTCTATTGAATGAAAGTTTACCAATACTGTGTTTACATCACAACCCAGTACTTGAAAATACATAGGTGATAAAGCATTAAGTTTGCAAACAGTAGCAGGCTACAAAGAAAATGTGGTGGGTGTGTATTACATGTAGAAAACATTTTATCAGCTTCATCAGTTATGGCATGTTTGATATTTAGATATCATTCGCACCAACTTGACTTTGTTTTTAAGCACACTGAATCTTTAGCTAGAGCACCTGAAGTGGCATGCACAGTCACTGTGCATCTCAACAGTTGGCCACTCATAGCAGTATCTGTCAACACTGCTGTGCCAATACTCCAGATTCAGTTGCACACATAGAATTTTTAATTGGCATTTAAATATTTAAAGGGTCTGCCACTGCAATTCAAAATCGTTTCGCTTACATTAGGAAGCCTAGTGTTGCCCAGGCCACCTTTCCATTGGGGGCAATACAGGGGTGGAAGTGCTGCACCAATTACGCCATTCTGTACCAATTTGACCTGCTGCTCTAAAACGGCAATTAGCGTGTGCACCGCCAAATTTAGTCGAGCTTTATCACCGACCGAGCAACACACGTGGTCTACAGAAAGGACACAACTGTGTCCATAACGAATTAGTTTGGTCACGTATTTCGGTTCATTCATGAATCTTGCGCCACGCGAACAGAATGCATGAATCTTGCTGAGGTAGCATTTCTGTACATACATCATTATGCGACTCTATGTTAAAGCTGTTAGTGGAACTATAAAGACTGCAGTGTTGCGAAAAACTCGCTGCTCCATTGCCGAAAAACTGCCGAGCACCGCACAGGCTCTGTGATGGAGACCATGGAACCATATAAACTAAAAAATATAAAGATCAGTTTCATTTACGAACAATTTGCAATGTTGTAATGGTAATGTTGCACGTGCTCCTTCCTATTTTTGGTACTATACACCATTGTGTAAAGCTGCCTTGCGCAAACTGTGCCCCAATTACTGGAAACCATCTAGATATTCTTAGAACCTTCCAATGAGATTACGCGCACAACGCGTACATTAGAGGTTGTTTTGGAACTTTACACGACCGCTAGCAATAACTCTGGAATCTTAGATGGCACATGCATGTAAATGCTGACGCACTTCGCTGCTTGGCAGATTATCGATGGTTAACGTTCTATATTTGCTGCTGTCAGTCTACAGTGTGTATTGCTTCTAAAGTGACGTTTCATTTTCGGGGCACAGGTTTGCCCAAATAGAACGTTCAATCATGAAAACGACGGCTGCTGCCTTCATAAACATTATGACCCCATGACATTACCAAGGCCGACAGTGAACTCTTTTGGATCTGACATTGCAACACTCTACAAAACGCTGGTGTAAAAGAATAAGTACGGCCACTCCAGGAAGAAATGCACTTATTGCACAATCTCTTCCCACTGAGCACGCACCACGTAGAACGGTTTACGAGTCGTGTTCTGATGCTTTCCGATAGTGTGCGTGCCAGCTAACGCAACCACGTCCTTAGAATTAAAGTTCACCGCTTCTGCTCGAGCGAACCCCCCCCTTTCCCCCACAACTTTTCATGCTCGTTCAAGACGGGCAGCGTGTCTCCTCTCTGCTTGAGCATTCGATTGCAGATCTAACACGCAGTAGGATGCTATCGCTTGCGCAACAGAGACCGGTCACTCTTTGCTTGAGCAGCCCTCATCATTCCAGCTTGCGCAATTTTATGCTCGGGTGGAACGTACCATGCGCAGGGAATGTTACCAACTTCTGGTTTACGCGGAATATGGCGACGACCGTGACACTCGTCGCGTATTCATATAATACTGTTATGAAAATTTTTTCACTTAATTGCATAGCAATGGCGTGGAGAGTGGATCTAAATTTCTTGCGGTTCTCATGTCGGCTGTGGCACTTCAATGACAGGAACATAAGTTTTTTACATTAATTTTTGTAGAGCCCCATTGGTTTACTATGAAGATAACTTTTTTATTATATCAGGTCATCTCTAGTTTGAGTGGCTCTTCATGTTAAATGCGGTGTTTTAATCAAATTATGAACGTTGCAACATTCTAGCATTTCGTTCGTCTAAGATCTAGCAGCTGTTTTTTTTCTTTGATTTGCTGTACTTTCAGCTTTGATGTTGCGAGGTTCAATATATATCAATTTAAGGTAAGTCTGATTTTTTTATCAGCATTGCATGCTTTAAAAACTACAGACATGTTTTGTAATTACCAGAAAGCAAAAAATTGCAATTAAGAGCGATGTGTGACCTGAGAAATCTGCTTCAAAACAAAATTTCAATGCTGCACAACACACCTTGCAATGCTCAGAGCTGCTCCAAAACTCCCTTGTTACTGCTCCAAAGCTGCTCCAAAAGACTGAAACCCGCTTCCACCCCTGGTCAATAGAAAGTCGAGTAAAACCTAATTACTAATAATTACAGTTAAACTAACACAAGAAAAATCTAAGGCTAGTGGTCTGTTGTTTCTATGCAACATCATTAAAGCAAATCCTGTGCCTTATTTGCACCATTTTGAAGAAAACCGCAGTGACCCCAAATGGCTGTGCAAGTGCAAGTTCAGTCAAGACGAAAAAGAGAATCACCTGGTGCACCTGATTTCGCGAAATGAATGCTTTGAGAGGGTCCTTCCACGCAAGCTGGCTGGCACTTGGCTATCTTTCATTTGTTTGAAAAAATATTGGGGACCTAAAGCGAGCACTTTTTGTATACAAGATGTTTCACTACTGCACACTGCATGAGCCTGTAACACATGTCTAAAAAATCCTTAGAGGACAAAACTATCCATGCAAAACAATGGTAGGTTTACAAAATAAGTTTTACAAACTACTTTTATTAGCTTCTTAAACCCTTCCTTAAATGAGCACTGACATCAAATATCTGAATCGAGATGTGCCCTTCCTGCGATTGCTCTGTGTGCGTAGGTCGTCTTGGCCAAATTTAAATTGAATCTGTCGCGTGGAAGTTATTTTATTTTTACGGCAAACAGCTTACCAGAGTTTAATGAAGATGGAGTGCCCTGTGACACAGACACTAGTGCTACGTGTTCGGAGTGATACATCCCACACTTATCGTGCTGAATGACGATGCGCTTGTAGCGATGATGTCTACGATCCGAGTATTCTTGTCGTGGCATCGACTGGTGCCGAAGCTTGGATATGCATTCACTTTTCGAGTCCGATCTTCGTCGCACCGCATTGAATGATTTCGTGAACTTACCAAGATGCAAACAACCTTTAAAAGAACGGCGAAAGAAAAAAGCATGATTTAACATGTGCTTGCCGGTCAGCATGTTGGAGAACCGCTGCGAGTTGCAGTTGTCTCATTCGAAGCGCGGAAAAAGCTCAATGAGGGTGTCTTTTCATATCATGTATAGTTACACGACAACACAACCACAAGCTCTCAATATGAAACAGTGTATACAGGGTGTCCCACGTAACTTGAGCCAGAGTTTAAAAATATGCTGGAAAACGCAATTACGACGCCACCAAACGCATGTTACCGTTGCCTGGAGTTGGACTATTGTTTGATTAAATATGTTAATTAACTAACTTTTCAAAAAATAAAGGTAGATAAAAATTTTAATGAGAAAGTTGTAGATCGGTTTGCAAAACGTTTGATTAGACAGTTTTGATATCTGTCAGGTATTAGTGTTTTTCTGCTAATTGCAAATGCCGGCAAAATACAAAAGATACCATGTGCAAACCCGCTCGCGCATCAGTGCGCACAATGATTCTAGTGCTCCCCAACGTTCCACGTACGAACGACACGTTTCCTTCACACCAGTTCATAACCGTGATAAGCAGTCACAGCGGTTATCGTTTTTGTGTCCGATGGCAAAACACGTTCATTGTAAAGCCACCACCATCGTTGCGGCCCTGCTGAGACAGCACAATGGGGCAAATGCTATGGTCGTTAGTACGCAGAACGTTAGGGAGCACTAGAATAATTGCGCGCACTAGTGCACGAGCGGGTTTGTCACACGATATTTATTGTATTTCGCCAAAACACACCAAAACACACCATGCCAAAACACACCAATACAGCAGAGGCACACGAGCGAACATGGCATCCTCTGGCGCTTCATCAGTGCTGCTTAGAACGGGGTCCATTTTGGAATCGCTGTTCTGTAAAGGGTCGATCGAAGCAAAAATAATTTGCGACGTCGCGGGGATTCCAGCTCCAGACTATCGCATTCAACCCAAGTCGACATTTTGTACGGCAGCGACGGCAATGCAAGTGACAGGCATGACTGAATGTTTTCGTCTGGCAGACGAAGTATTTGCGGAGCAGCTGAGCCTGACGTCAATCTTTTCTGTGGAGAAGTGGTCAGCTGTGGTGCGATCTGAAGGTGACAGCGAGGTCGTGCCACTGGTAGTGCTTTCAGCGCTAAAAATGGCGGGATTGCCGGCTGTTTTGAATCGTGCTAGTCGCTGCTACGGGGTCTATAGGTACTCGTTGATGCAAAAATCTTGTTAAGAATAAATGTGATGTCGGTGCTCCTTTAAATATAGACAATATGGCCCGTATCAGAGATTTTTTCATAGAAAGAGAACATTTAGTGAAATGCAATTGTATCAACTGATTGTCAGGAAGTTTCACTGCTGGAAAAAAATAGTTTGAAATGCATATAGTGCGAAATAGCGTGTGCAGGTGGTGACAAAGTTGCAAAGAAGTACATTTTTAACATGTTTTGCTGTAAATTTAACAGTCAGGTGGTCCTAGTAAGAAATATTCTAAATAGCTCATTTACTAGCAATCTTCATTGGCTACTCACTGAGAAAGCCTTGTATAATTACGATTTTTCAAAATGAGAAAAATTTTTGAAGTTGTGTTCTGCCAGTCTGCACATGCCCATGTTGATACTTCATAGAGATGTGTCCAAGTGGTAAACAAAAGCTGTGCACTTGTGAGCTTTACTGTAGAGCATCTAGCCATAATAATCGGCTTTAATGAAATCCTATACTTGCGAACAGCTTTACTCTTTTTTGGCAATGAAGGGGAAGCTACGGGAGCAGAGCTACTGCACATGGACTCCTCTGAAAAGTAGTCCCGTTTGGCTCTTGTTTTGAATGACGGTCTTGTTAAAAAAATAACATTGCATACCATTTGTTACGTCTGCTTTGACAGCCATTTGTAAGCGAAATTCGTCACAACCTTCTTCGACGAGTCGTAGAAATAGCTGGTGGGCGACGATCGCTCACTTAAAAACGAAGTAATTCTGACTGTGAAGTGCACAAAAACTCGAAATGACATTACATGAAGTAAAACAAATATATGTAAATATCTCCGTAGTACCTGCTGGTATCTCTTTGTAAACGGAATCCCACGAAAAATAAAATGTTAGTTTTTATGATTTTTCACATGAAAAACAGGTGCAACAGTGGGACTATATTTTTCAGCGGCAGTACACGTCTATCATGGCTGCATAGCCTTCCCTTCATTGCCAAGTTGCCTGCGAGTATAGCAAGTATCAGCCAGAGTCTGCGAAATATGCAAACACTACTAGAGTTCGCATTTCAATGTAGCAGCAGACTGATAGGAAAAGGAATGACAGAAGTCTTATTGTGCGCTGTTTCATTTAAATATGAACAGATACACCCAAGTTGGAGAGCATTAACCATGTGCAGTCGTTCGCAGATCTCTGCCACACCTCAATGCCAGATTTAGAAGTGGAAACTGACATGCTGTATTAACAAGGCAGCAAGGGGTAACCATCCCGAGACAAGATGAGCACAGATGCCTTAGACAATCAGGAGCAAGCAACAGAGTAGCTACGTGGTTTGGTTGGTATTGCATTCTTAAAAGAAATATACTTTCCTGGTTTCTTTTTTTGTTTTCCTGCGCACTAAAAAAGTACATTTTTTTTTCAAAAATGCAAGCAATAGCAGCTAGCGTTTCAATGAAGTGGTGCTATAAAAATGCCTGCACATGCATCCGAGGATGTCTCATGTGCTGCGCCACTTTCTGTCACAATTCCCACACGTTTCTTTGTATTGTGTAGTTGTATAAAGAAGCCCACCCAACTGATTTGTCCCATTGTTAATTCTCTCTTGGCTTTCATATGGTGGGCACTGCTTTGGTTGCCATGCGTTCACCAGGGGTGTATCCTCAGACAATTCCATTCCTAAGAGTTTCTAGGAGTGATAATAAGCATAGATAATTCCTACGACTGATGATTAAGCATAGACAATTGAGCACAACTCAATTATCTGACGCTGAAATGTGCTGTCCAAATAGTGTACCCAGGCAGAATACTTCTCCTCTACTATCCCAAGACGATAATATAAAACAGACCTTGATGGTACACGTTGGTTCATGGCTAATTATCAGAGCAGTGGAGCTCTGGATATGAAGGAAAAGTAGATGTACCTCAAGCACTGACCTTCAAATTAGTGGTTCAAAACCTGACATAGTACAAACTATTAATGGTGCATGCCTTTTCCAAAGCTACACAACTCATGATTAGTATAGTGGGTAGAGCAGTTCAAGCAGTTTCACTAACGACTTGTGAAGTTTTAGCTTGAAACACTGGAACCTTAATTCAGTAACATTCATGATATAACAATGTTTTCTACTGCAAGCATTACTTTCACATCAAGGTTTCAGTGTACACATATGACTTATTTATATGCGTCTCATTTTACGGCATTGTACTTTCTTATCCTGGCAATGTTGGGGCAGTGCACCTTTCATTTGTCTACAAGAGCTTCCTAGTCAGTACTACTTTAGATGGGTCTTTATGCATATTTAAGCTGAACTTTATAACCATTAGGGTTTAGTGCATATGGAAATATGTATATAACCTGCTCACCTGAAGAACATTTTACCAATGCTGCACATATACTATGTAAAAAGGCTACAAGCTTAGGCTAAGAATACATACTGATGAGCTGTACGTAGACACAAAAGCCTACATTCGTCAAACATTTTATTGACAGTATGCAATGCTGAGTAGAGATGTAGTACAGCTGCTGCATACAGAAAAAAAAGGCATTCAGATTATTCCAGACACTAATACTTTGCAAATCACACGAAAACCCTGTCTTGTCTCAAGGTTTTTAGTTAGAAACTTGAAATAACACCAGTAGCTGAGCCATTTTGTTATCAAACAGGCCAATGCTCCTGTTGGTAACTTTAGTTAAATATATTAAACTCGTGCAATACAACAGGAGAATTTTTAATGTCAAATGCTAAGTAAGACGAAAATAGAAAAATGCATTGCTATGAGGTTTCTAAAAGCCATATGAAAGAATGCTTTTACAACTGCAGACACCAGCTTTTCTGGCAATTTAAAAAGAGAAATACTTGCACATGGTTGTAAGGAAGGCATGTTTAACATACAGCTGCCAATATATTGCTTCAAACAAGACACAGGAATGCAGGTTTGGCTTGCTGCTGTTCCTGTGCAAAACGCCAGCATGTAAAAATATTAACTTGCACCTCTAGATCTTGGCTATGGGATACGTTGTCAAGACAGAGATTAGTACTGCCAATAATTCTATCAAAGCGGCAAAATTGCAGCTATTGCTGTGTTCATGACATTAGAGATAGGACCTACATGCAAACAGCCAAGCACAAAGACCACCTATAAGGCAATCACAATTAAAATCTGTTATGAAATGCAGCCTACCAAAGCAAAGCTGCTCACAAAACATACACGACAAACATATACAAACTTGCACAAGGCAAACCTAACACTCCAAAAAGCCTATTTATAAATATATTTACACCAAAAGGCCTTTTTCCTGGGCAGCAGTAACGGAGGAAATGCAGCTATTGCTCCAAGGAGGCTAGGTTAAAATCGGCATCAAAAGATCTAGCACTGCAAATGCTCAAGCTTCACCACTAAGAGCACAAAACAAACCTGCTTGTGAAAGTGGCTCATTCATATTGCATGCAGTACATTTTACAATGGTGCACAAATGTCGTATTTAACAGTGACTTAAATTGTACACTTACACTTTTACCAAGACCCTGCTGATGGGAGGACCATCTTGAAGAGGAACTTTAGATATGACAACCAATTAAATAACTATGACAAAAATGGCACATACTTTGCAAGAATTCTCAGGAGAACATGCGTTATCAGTAGACAACGTGGCTTACCTACCAATACTGACAACCAATGTTCCCATTTAATAGGTAGAAATGAATTAAACTGTGTATGCAAAGACATCTATGGCCGAAAATTTTTTATTGCCTAGCTAAGAACATGAACACAGACATCGCTAGGCTAAAAAACAAAGGGGGGGGGGGGGGGGGGGGCTTCTATGCAAGGCCCTGAGCTACATAAAAAAAATGCTAAAGAGAGAGCTTACAGCACTGTCAACACAGCTTATACAAGCAGCACACAATAGGGTAGAAGAGAAAAAAATTGCTTCCCCACAAGTTTGTATGGCATTTATAGATGCAGAGGCCTAAACTTTGCACTCCTTGCACATGCAGTCAAGCAAATATCACTGCAACAAAGCACAAAAAGAAAATGGCATTTGCTAGGTCTTCAAGTGCTTGTAAAAGCAACTGTGATAGGTATTTGAATTTTTATTTAGATAAGTAGAGACCAGTATAATGCAAGAGATGCTTGCAATATGATAAGCCAGAAATACCGGCCTATTCTGCAATGTAATTAAAAGCTTTCGAAAAGTTAATTCGAGCGCAAAAACTTGACACGATCACTCACACACGCACACACCCATGCGTCAAACAGATGTGTTTGATGCATCGGTGTGTGTGTGTGTGAGTGATCGTGTCAAATTTTCGCGCTCGAATTAACTTTTCGAAATGCTCTACCACCTAGCCCAACAACAAGTTCTTTTATAATTAAAAGCTATATGCAATGTGCTGCTATGTTTTTCATAAAGCGAGCTCTCATGTTCAGCTAATGTAAGCATCTCTTTCAGATTGTCTCAATGCAAACACATGGCTGCAATGCCACAGTGGCTACACAATTGTTTATATAAAAGAGTTCTTGGTTGGCCCTAGTTTCAGTAAAACCTTATGCGAGTCTCAGTGAGGCATAAACAAAGGGGCGGAGGCAGGGAGAGTTCCCAGAGGCACACTTTTCGCACCAATGTATAGCCTGCATTTGCAAATGTCCTGCGTGCACTGTACATTTTCAAGGGTAGGGCACATCAACGGCAGCACATCAGCATAAACCATCAGGCCATAATGTGCCTTCTTACTATGAGCACGCTCCTACCTACGACCAGCACTTTTTTTTTTGGCAATACCCAGTATTAATACCCTAGGCACAACGTGAAAAAAGCAGTAGTTTAAGTTCTTTTGATTATGTTTCCATTTAAGCAACAACATGAGTGAAGCAGTAAGCATCACGAAACAACCATGACCACTGGCTTTACTTAGACCCTAAAGACTTTCGACATGTACGATTGAAAGGCGCAAGGCACCAACGGTCTAAGATGGCTTGACAGATGTAGGGTAAAACTTTTTTAACAAAGGGCTTTGATGAGAAAGCTGGCAGCTGCTCGGACTTGACAATCATAAAAGAGCAGCAGCACACTTGACTGCTTACTATAGGAACACTGTGGCAAGCTGCACTCAATCAAAGTGTCTTTTCTGTCCCTGCCTCTTCACTTCATGCTGTTCTCTATTGAGCTGTGTGGGTAATCAGAGCACTGCCATATGCGACCCATCTTGACAGCTCACTAGCCTTGATGTGTGATACTGATCATATAAATGGCCAGGTGATATTCAGTGTCAGACGACAAGTCCCTTCTAGGGCTCTTGCAAAAACGTACTTCTAGCTGTATTAACAAATTTAATTAGCTGCACCTCTTTTCTTCACTCTACTTAAATAGAGCTATGCAATAATATTAAATGTCAATATGATATTGTTCAAGAACTCAGCCTTGTGCAGCATAATTAGTCTTCTGACACAGTCAATCCCACAGAAGCAGTTATTCTGTGTACGGTAGTGAACAACAATGGAGTGTGCCAGGCTGATGATAGTCATCATTTCAGGTTACCGGTTCGTGCAGTACAGCTAAACGCTCCTTTTCCAACACTTGGCACCCCAAGCAAAATCTTTGTCAGGTATTAGACTTCAGTGGTGTCATCCAATGCCTGTGTGGCTCTGAGGAAATTGGTGGCGTGCAAAACATTCCATCCACTCTGCTCCAGGGCGTGTGAGCATGCTTCAGCTGGAAATGCCAATCCATGCCGCTGCTGTAGCTGCTGTTGAAGCCGCAGCCACTTGATTCCTTTGTGCACATCCCAGTCCACTTCGTTTAGGGCCACAAGGCACTCCTCAGCTCCAACACACTGTGAGTGAGAAACATTTAACTGAAAACAAAGTGGAACTACACCATCATTATCCACAAGCTAAATTGAACAATGGATACTAGACAATGATATCGTAAGATGAAAGAGAAACCAATATTTCAAGTCAAGGACATTTCAAGCAATGACATTCCCTTTTTCTTCCCTGGCATTTCATACAATAACTGCAATGATAACTGTTCAGTCATCACTATTATTAAATCAATAACCGTTACAGTCTTACATCCCAAAAGCATGATACGATTATGAGGGACATTGTAGCGAAGGGCTTCTGATTATTGGAAGTTCTTGAACGTGCACCTGCATCTAAGCACATGGGCCTCTAGTATTTCACTTTCATCGATAGGTGGCCACCGCGGCAGAGATCCCGTGACCTTTGGACCAGTAGTTGAGCAGAAGTATGAAATAGGGAGAGATTAAGTATGATTGAAGTCAACGAAGCAAGTGATATCAGCGCAATGCAGACGAAAAACAATGTTTTAGATGGCTCACTTTCCTACACGAATATTGTGCAGTTCAATCGAGGCTGCCTAATGCAGTGACTCAGTAATATTCCAAAAATCCAGGTTTAACTACCACACATGTTACACATGAATTGAAAGCATATATGCAGACAATGCACGTGAAACCAACACAATGATCCACTTTCATGAAGGTCTGAAACAAGAAAAGGTGCCAACTAGTGCGAACAAACCTTAAGATATATGTTTGGACTGGTTGGAGTCTTATGTTTCGAACCTACCCTGCTGCTCAAACGGAACTCCGTCAAGCTCCTGACTTCATTATGTTCGCAAAATCACCAGAACTATATTTTCCAGATTATCTACCTATCAAACATTTTATTTATTTATATATATATACATATATATATATATATATACATATATATATATATATATATATATATTGTGAGCGCGACAGGCAAATGACTCTTTATTCTCTTTGATAACATCATCACCTGTACATCTTCTTCATCTGTAAATATCACCAGCGTGATTTAGCTCGAGCCTGGCTGAATAAACCGGTTCCTCACAATATATATATATATATATAATATATATATATATATATATATATATATATATATATATATATATATATATATATAATATGTTGTGGGAATTCAGGCATCCGCGTCAGTAGCTCGACGCCATTTTCCCTCAAAGAGTTCTCGCACCCCTTTCCTCCCGAACAGACAGATGGCGGCTGGTCATAAATAGCTGTCACTTCGCTGCCATCCCCGCCCCTCAAAGTTTAGCACGGTGTCCTATTGGCCTAGGTTTGGCGGGATTTGGACCTTGCTCGCGCTTGCCCGAGAAGCGCGGGCGCGAGACGGGGTTTGGGAGACCACTTCAGGATTTCAGAGGGTGCGTATATGCGTTTTTTTTGGCCTCTTCGGCCGGCGGCGATCCTATTTTCTTCATCCCCGCTGGTCGGTGGTTGCGTCGTTTTGTCAGGGCCCTGGTCCCGGCAGGTGAGTGCTCCTTTCCGCGGTCTCGAAGTCCTGAAACAGCGCCTTGCGATCGTGCAGCGTATGTTCCCCTCAACTGTTGCTATGTATGTCTGTTCTGCTCATTCTGCATGCTCTGGGGTGCGCGATCGCGGGTGTGCTGGCCAAAGGGTGAGTCGGCGCTTCGATATAGGTTTTTTGTCTATTTGTTTGTTTGGTAGCTTTGTCAGTGCACCCTTCACGGCCAGTATTTGATGTATCCAGTAGCTCGTATTAGCTAATTGGTGTCTCATATAATTATGTCACTTACGATTAGTATACATGTTTATTGAGTAATATCTGCGTACTGAATTCCCTGTAATAAACCAACCCATTTGGAAAGCGTAGCCCAAGTTCTTCCTCGCTGCTTGCGCGTGGGCTCGCCATCCCTTCCTGGTGATGGTCCGAGCTCGCGTGCGCAGCAGTACGAACGGTATACATGATGCGTTGAGATGGACAAACGAGGACACGGCACCCCTGCTTGGAGCTCGCATTGCTCGAACCCGCAGAGGTGTACGATGGCAACACATATAACAAAAAATGACACCACAATAAATAAATAAATATATATATTGTGGGCGTGCTAACACCCCCTGTAATGTTTGCGCCTCATGGTGCATGGGTCTTGCGTATAAGCCGCATTCAGAGATGACAACTATCAAGCGGTAAGTGGCGTTTTGCTCACGAACTTTTATCCCCACCATCATTATCATGGTTAGAACGGTGACGCCAGCAGTGACGCCTGGTGGCAAGCCTTGGTGGTGGCAAGGGAGAGATGAGCGAGTCTTTTTTGCGGGTGGCGGTTGGCACGAACGGTTGTCTCTAGCCGTGGGTCTGCCGTAGGCCCTCATGGCGAGTCAAACGTTGATGAAGCCGCCTTGCGTGTGTTGTTGTGTTTGTTATGTTGAGTGTTGAGTAATACTGTGTAAGGTTGTTCTGGCATTTTGATCAATTGATGTATACTAATTTGGCTGACGATATCGATGTAAAAGTAGTTAAATAAATGTGTGTTATTTGGTTCATTTCAACTGTGTCTACTGTGCCCATTCACTCCAAGAGCGGGGCGCTCTATCCACTTCGAGACCCTACAATATATATGTATATATATACAACCTTTTTATATTACAAGCCGGCTAAATATCATTAAGCATCTGTTTTTATACTTTATATTTTAATTAGGCTCGTGCAAATATCCATATGCTTTGAATATTCGAACAAATAGTAGGGTATTCGAATTTGCTTTGATTCAAATTTGAATTATTGAAAATTTTGAAATGTTCGCAATGAACGAATAGACGTATATTAGTTTGCATGTAACGACCTGTAAAGGTGGTTTCACTGCAGTGTAGGGGCACTAAACAGTGAAAGCACTTATTAAAAAAAATATTTGCTTTGCCGCGCCTTTCAAATTTTAAGGGGCCCCGCAACACCTATTGAGCATGGTCAGAAAACGCTGCCAATCGGTAGTCTAGGGTACGAAGAACACGCGAACCAAATATTACATTGCAGCATGTAGCCTTCAATTTACAACAAATTCTCAAAGTCAAAGTCAGCTAAAAATTTTTCTTCTCTCTGCAAATGGCACTGCAGGCTCAAAAATCACTCATCAAAGCCATAGGCTGATTTGAGCATGGCACACCCGGTTGTTGCTTGGGCCTCCACGGGAGGCCGCCACTTGTCCACGTGCACGTACGAAATTGCGTTGAAAGGCCACATATTTGAAGAAAAAAAAAATGAGATAGAAAATGTTCTCAAGGTCACAAGGCACGCGTGATGTTTTTATTTTTTTTTTTTCGTGCCATCCTTAACTGCTTAGCTTCTTCCAGCTCTTTCCTCAGAACGAGAAGAGAAAATGCAATCGCAGTGTGCGAGAAATCTTTGCAACTCCACTCATACTGGGCGGATTCGAAAAATTTAGCGGCGGTGAATTCGTGATGCAAAAAGCTTTTTTAGTGAATCCATTCCATGGCTACTTGAAAAAGTGTTGCAGGGCCCCTTTAAATTAACATTGTCCACAAATTAACTCATTATTTTAGTAAGCTTAAATGATTGTTATGATGGCTGATATGCTCTATTGTACAGTAGACTCCCTTTAAGACGAACTCCAAGGGACCTCGATCATTTGTCTTGACAAAAGTTCATCTTATCAGAAGTACTCATAAAAAAACAAATGGTAACATGCCAAGTACACCTAAGTATATTGCTTGAAAACACTGAATGAATTATTGGGGAGGAAAAGAACAAGAAAAAGCATTTATTTGATAAACACTATGCTTTCAAGTAGAATATTTAGACTGATCTCGCGAGTAATCGATTTCACAATTTAATAATAAATATGCTCATGAATAAATTGCTACCACATTTTAACAATAAAACTGTAGCACGACCCTTTCTTCACTTACTGACTAGGGGTGAAGGAGATACCACCTCGTCGACCTTTCTTTTCCACTTATATTGCTTTCTTAATCCATGCTACAATTAGCTTTCGATATGCTTAGAGTTTTGATGCCAGAAGTCCTCTCTCTTTTTATTGTTTCGCTTTCTCAGTTAGCCATCAAGACTGCCTTAATGTTAGTTGCACGGAATCTTTGTCTTTGTTGGTCGCTGTAAGAGTGTCTCAACAGAAGAGTTGTGTTACGCGGTTCGTCTTAAGATTTTTGAGTCTATGGGAACCCAAACAAACACTCTCGTGTTGTTCATCTTAAGCAAGAATTCATCTTAACAGAGTTTGTCTCGAAAGCAGTTCACTGTATTACAAATTTTAGAATGTTATGTTTCGTACAAGTTAACACTTGCATCCTATCGAAACTCAAATCCCGATACTACTCACAATGGGTTCAACTTCTTCTAACAAAAAAAAGATGCATTTGCATAGAGATCCTATTGCAATCAAAAAGAAAAGAACATTGTGCAGGTGAGTTTGGTCATGATAAATATTCCCTGTTTTTTTTCTATATGTCATACATACCGTTCGAATTCGATTCAAAATTATTCGACCAAAATGACTATTCCCTTTGAATTTGCTTCGAACCTGGAATTCACTATTTGCACAAGCATAATTTTAATGTGTTTAAAAATATGATATTCTGTTTAATATTCAGAAGCCATTTTTCTGTTGTAACATTCTTATTAGATGAAAAATTTCACTAATGAAGCACTTTTGCACGACTCACATACACACAACCAAATCTTTATGGTGAAAAGGACACACATGTATTTTATCTCTGCATACTTCATCAGCTTAGCTTTCAAGGAAGCATTAGCAGTTTTGCTATTGTACAATCACAAATAATTTGTTTCTAAAATATAGCATACTTTTTTTACTGCCCTTTTCAGCTCTGAACAAAGAAAAACTAAGGTAAGTGAGATATCTCCAGAAGTGACAAATCTAGCATTTACTTTCTTTTGAATTCTAAAATTTAATTTAAGATTTTTTTTATGCAAAAATAAAATTCTACTTTTCTTCTAGAAGGAAGATTTTTCGATCAAACTG